AGCGAGAGAGGAGGGGGGGGGTATACAAGAGACACGTTATGGCTGATAAAGCCAATTCATAATCATTGTCAACTCAATTCGAGTCAAAATATGATCTCTTCTAATATAACTTGCTGAGACACAAAGACACAGAAACACAGACATACCCCAAAGGAAAGATTAAGGGTGATAAAAGGACGAGATTATCTATAATCATGAACGTGACAAAATATATGGGTCATAGTAACAGTATCAGATTATCCTGTCTCATTCATAATCATATCCTGTTGGATTATCCCGATTACTGCTACTTGAATTTCATGTTACATTTGATAGATTGATACAAAACAAGAGGGAAGGGGGTTAACCTTTTTCAAGTTCCTTATCTTTGCACCCCTTCTATCTCTCTCTCTCTCCATCTCTCTCTCTCTCTCTCTCTCTCTCTCTCTCTATATATATATTCCTCTTTCTCTTTATCTCTCTCTCTCTCTAACGTGCCCGCCCACACTCGCACACACTTTCTCCCGTTTTTACTGTCATTATTTAACTACGCCATTGTGGGAATGCCGCTGGGAAAAACATTCGGTTGCGGAGAGGGAGGGGTGGGGGATGGTGGCGGTGGTAGTGGTGGTGTGAGGGTTGGGGGGGGGGGGGGGCTTAACGCATCCATACATTTAACATGTTTGAAGTGAAATAAAATATCCTCCCCTCTGCAGCCTACACCGCAAAGGTCCCGATAGTACAACAAGCTTGGAATCAACGCCAACAGTCGACATGGTAGATTTGAATCCAGTATACGAATGTAGGTCAGGTGTCTGAGAGGTTCATATGAATCATCATGCTCATGATAAAGGTTATCCTGCTTCTATTTTGATGGCTGACTAGGTGCTGTACGGGCCCCTTTGCAACATCTTCCAAACATCATAATATTTGGCGAGGATCCTATATTCAGAGGTTCTGTAACATTTCTGTATTGAAGTTGAATATTTTTTGCACCAAGTGCAACATAATCATACCTCTGCCATCTCGAAATTAGTATTTCTGTAAAGTGACTTATTGCATCGACGAAAAGTCATGGAGTTTGTTATTGATCCCAAGTTCTACTCTTGACGCCAAAGAACATGCAGAATTCTGCGACCCGCCGAAAAAGGGAATTCAAACTGGATTATTTTACCAAAAGTCATGCAGTTGACAGTTCTTCCATTCGAAGGAAAGTTCGTGAATAAGATATTCTTCTATCATTGTATTTATATAATTCTGCATTAACTTTAACTGATGAAATCGTGAGTAAATTCTTCGTTAGAAAGCCAAAGTTTAAGGGTATATAATGTTATACGTCGTTAGATTTTGAGCACTTCAATGATAATAAATACAAGTTTTTAAATCATTCATATAATTAAAAGGAATTTACTTTACCTGTTATATTGGAAGTGGGAGGAAAAGAAAAATATGGCAACTATTGGGTTTCTCAAGCTCTACTGTGTTTTGAACCCTGATTCTGGCCCCACTCCCTACAATCTTACCCAAAGTCAGGAACCTAAAATCTCAAGGTAAAAGTGAAATCATGTTTTTGTTAAGTGACACAACAGAGGACAAACAAATTAACCACGACTGATTTTAGATGTTCTTAAGAGGCTGGGTTCTATTTCTATGTCTTACGTCGGGGCCCATTATCATGATTACATCCAGTATACTTGGATGAGTATTTCCGACCACCTGTAAGCTTTGTGTTTGTTTACATTACCATTAACAGTTTCTATGATCACTGTGTTCTTTTTTTGTTTTCTCAGGGGGCCGTTTAATTACAGGGAAATGTATAAAAAGTAGGAACCATTTCCTGTATCATTTTCTGCTTCAAATGTCAGAGGTGTGTCGATTACACGAAAAAGGTTTACTTTGCATATTTTCATATTCTCTTTATGTATTTCCCCAAATGCTTTCTTTAATTTGATTATCTAATTTCGAGGAATCAAACGATAACCTACGTATAAAATGATAGCATCTGCTGAATTCTAACAAAACGATGAATCCCTTTATAATTCTGTCGATACTTCCATACATTTTTAACAAATGGTCTCCTCTCTCCCATTTTACTCTTATTTCATTTGTATTACGACTCCGTATAATCGCCATGTTTTCGAAGTTATGACTTGTACTCAGACGCGATTCTAGAAGAATAATTTTTGGGAACGGGGGGGGGGGGGGGGGGTGGGCTACACGCATTTTCAGTGTGCGTCACCGTTTAAGTTCATTGAAAATAAAGATGTTTTTTGGAGAGCAGGAAGTCTGCGGTGGGTCTTGAGCCCCAAACCCACCACCCCCCTTAGAACCCCTACTATGAAGTGACCAAAAGGATGTTGAATTGAAAACCAAATTATTTTTTCGAGACAAGTCGACCTCATAAAACAAGATTTAAGAAGTGAACAAGAATAAACAAGTCAAGAAATTAATGACTCACTTCATGCATGTCCGGAGGTTAAGGGGGCTAGGTAGGTGAGATTCCTACGTGATCAATCAAACATGACGTCAGAAGTCAGACAAAATGACCAACTACATTTATTTTCTCTCAATGCCCTTCATTGAAGATTTGATATATAATTAAAACCTATATTAATAAACGGAGATTAGGGGCTTTAGGGGGCTCACCTCGAACATACAAATTTGGCTATTTGGAAATTGTTTTAGATTTGATCACGTATTGTATTTCTAAAGTAGGTGAATGTAAAAGTAAAAATACAGAAGTTTACATTTCACTTAACAACTGTTTTGAGGAATATAGATAACTTCTTTTGTGCACTTGCCTTCGATATTTAAGTAACTTTATGCACATAATTGCTAAAGTAATATTACAACGAATAATATTTTCTTTTAGGCTGAGGGGCTACATTTCGAGCAGTGGAATGCAACGGTTAATCCATTGAGTGGGCACTGGGTTCTTGTAGGGAAGGGGCATGGGCTAATGCTTGATATATGAAATGCGAATTGGCGAGGAGGGAGATTGGGTGGGGTCCTATCATGCTTCCACACTTTGGATTCCCTTTCCTGTTCCTTTCTTTCCCTCTCTTTGTTTTTTCACCATTCCATTCCTCGGATATACTTCTATCCGCATCCCACGGCAAATGAAGATACTGAGAAAGATTTTTTGTTTGCTACCTTTTAACCTTTGTGCAGCCCCTTGATATTTCGGATAATGGTTATCAGATCTGAATCACATGACTTTCACACGCAATCTCCACAACTTGGGTTCATATAAGGTCACAGAAGTTCGTCAACCAATAATGATCGGTAAAGTGTATTTATACCAACAGTTTGATGACGTCTTTCGTCACTAAGCAGGCAAACAAAAAAAAGCAATTTGTTTTCTCTCTCTCTATCAGAATGAGATTTGATACGTTTGGAACTAGGGCACGGTTTAATAAACTTGCAATCAATAACAAGTCTTATGAAACAGTGCCCAGAAGCAAACGTCATCGGGAAACTTCAGTATTGGTATAATAAGATCAAAATAACGGAATATTAGGTATAGATGTCACTGAAATTAATGAAAAATAGAGAGCTATATGATATGACATTTTACTTTGGTTGTTTAATCGTAGAAAGGGGTCTCAGCCTTGGTTTAAAGTATACTCTATCATGCAACGACACATCTCTGCATTTTAGCTAAATGCCTGATTTGTCGAAACAGGTCAATAAATTCATTCATTTCTAGTTATCTTTTAAAAAAAATGTACATGAGTATATGACTTCATTGGCAACATGTCGAAAGCCAGTCACAGTTGAAGTCACACTAGTACTGGATACTCACACATTAATGACGTTTTCATCGGCTTACACAGCTATTGTTTCGTGCAATTTGGGCGTGGACATCAACGTTTCAGTTGACTGCAACTATTTTTACATCGACCAATCAAGATTATTATTATTTTTTTTTTAAACGTATGCAGAACCAAAAGAAACACTGAATAATTATGATTAGCTGTCGATTGTTACAGGAGTTGCGCGTCATTGTAACTTGCAATCGGAAAAAGATTTCATTGCAAGTATTGTTATATATTTAAATATCGTCTGCTGAAAGTCAGAAGGACATTAATATATTACTTTACGCTCAGTTAATTAATGCCCTTCGGTTCTCAGCAGAATTTATGCTCCTCATGTTGGCATTACTGCAGTATGTTCGATTAAGATACATTTTGGCTACGAATCATAGGAAGGGCCACTCTCCCGTAGAAAGAATGCTGTAAATCATGACTTCCGTTATGAATCAGACTCTTCGTAGAGACGCTATGGGCTAGTAACACATCATACCTCGTCATACAGACAAGGCCGACATTAGACTGAATAGAAATTACATTACCACACTCTACAAACTAAAATATTACATCACCATTATGAAGGGCCGACCGAGGAGTGACCACATTTAAAAAATGTCAGATTAACAATTTAACACGCTAGATTCAACTTTTATAGTGTTGGATCCAATATTTTCAAAGCGTTCAGTTTACATTGTGGAAAAAGCGGTCACTCCTCGGCCCTTTTAAATGGGAATTTGATATATTAGTTTTTAGAGTGGACCCCGAATGGCCAATGTTTGGAGTTGTGGTCTGGAGTCGGGTTCGTGGTGTGACTGTGATATAATGCATGTGTAAACATTTCAGTTTTTAGAGTGTAAGTGGTTCAACACTTTTTTTAAAGGTTTAAAGCAATTTCGAATTTCCAAAGAAAGGTGCGCGTTCATGATAAGGCTATTTTTTTTTTATTAGTGTAGGCTATTATTATCAATTATCATGGTTAGATGAACGGTCAGCTCAATGAATAAAAACGTTAAAGATATTTATGGATATTTTAAAATCTTCTTCATATCATTAAAAGATATTGAACTAGACCGAGGATAATAGTAAAGGATGACCAGGCCCTTTAACAAGTGAACAAATATATTTTTTACTGTTTCTTTTATTTTCCCAAAATACATACACAAATTTGCAGATTAATGTAATGATTATAAAAAAAAACATGTGACGTACCTGTAACAGTAATTACCATAGCCGGTCCAAAAGGTAGGGCAACTGCATTGTGTTCCGATATAAAACTGTCCAGCGACTTTATTCGTGTGTAGGGCCACTACTGAAAAGAGAACCACAAACGTTAAATAGCTCGCCATATTATTAACCTGCATGTTCCTCGTATTCGCAGGCATGTATGGTGGTGTCAGGGCGGCGACAAAAGGAGCAGAAATTATGAAGAGAGTTGTCTGATTTTCCTACTAATCTTCCGTTACAGGATGCGCAATTTAGAAACACACTCGCAAATTGGACGGATCCCGTTGTTTCGTACAAGAAAGATACAATTACTCTACTGTTTCGTCGTGCTGCGCTGCACGTACTGGGGAGATTTGACAATTATCAGGAGCGAGGAACTTGCGGGGCGAGATACTGAAGGGCGGAAATGTTATTTGCGCACGGCACTGCAAAACTTTCAGCCGATCCCGTGTGAGCGCGGTGATAGTCTAGCCATGAACACCTGCAGACCTTTTTGTTTAATGCATGTCTTTCGACGATAATATTGGTAGGCCTATGTTTATTCATGACATATTCTTTAAGATCAGATAAATAAATCGATGAAAGTCAGAGAAAATTGTCTGCAAAATTGATCTACGGGCCTACAGTAAAAGATATTTGACTAAATTAACGGGCCTAATCTTACTAGCCTAAAAAAAAGAGAGGGGGGGGGGGGGCGATGTCTTTCCCCGGATATCCAGAAAGCGAAGAAAAACAGCAAACAACTTTTTCATAAAATATGACAACTCTCCCAAAAGTACACTACCTCACCGCCTGAATTTGAGGTGACTGTTGTGGGGGAGGGCTCTGCTGTCGAAGCCCCGCTCTCAACGCATCGTACGCTCACGTATATATTTTCCTTTGTATAATTTCATTTGCGGAATGTTTTCCATAAACAAGTAAACGTGTCGATAAGATGAAGACTACAAATTCTAAACTGCCCTTGGTTCGTCATGTTCGTATGAGTCAAATCTGACAGCTTTCTTGAATCACGCGCGTGTAAAGCAACATGCTATGAAGGCCCACTATCGAGTTGTTGAAATTTTGTTTTATATAATTAGAAAAATGCCTTGTCTTTGAAAAGGATTATGTCATGGAGAATGTCTGCACTATTGGCCAGAGATGCATTTGCTTAAGTGTTCGACTGAAAAATTAAACGAGTATAGAGGTATAGGCCCAATATTATGGTTGCGTGATGGTTACGCTAAGCACAAACTCTCGCAGGAGTATCAGAGAGAGAGAGAGGGAGGGAGAGAGAGAGAGAGAGAGAGAGAGAGAGAGAGGGGGAGAGAGAGAGAGAGAGAGAGAAGAAAGAGAGAGAGAGAGGGAGAGAGAGAGAGAGAGACAGAGAGAGAGAGAGACAGAGAGAGGGAGAAGGGGTTGGGGTTGGGGTTGTGTACTGTGTGTGGGGTGAGGGTGGCAATACCCATTTAAAGCATTCTGTTGGCATAACTCGACATTCCCTCTCCAGTTTTTTTCTTCACAAATTGATGGGATGGGCAATCTTCTATGTCCCCTATAGCTACGTCATTGCCTGTTAGAAGTTATAAGAACTTAGGATTATTAACGCAGAATAATGTTCTTGTTAAAGAGAAGGTTGAGTTCTGGAAAGAGGTGAAAAATAATTTGTGAGCATTGCTCATTCTTATTATGCAAGTGTGGAAGAACATCAGTTAATACATGTTCCCTGAAAAGCATGGCTCTTCAAATGCCTTCATATTCTAAATATGCATGTAACATCGTGAAAATCGGGGGGCCGGCTTTTTACGCCACGTGTTCGTGTAGTCCCATATACATCTTTCTGTGCAAGTGTTTGTAACTTTATCAAGACTTGGCCAATTTTCTTATCATTTTGATGATTCCAGAACCTTGCAATACACACAAATTCTTATATGCTAGATGATCAATCTTTTCTGGTCGGTTCCACACCGTTTCTTTCACAATGCAATCGCATGACCAGAACTCAACTTCATCTTTAAGTACCGTCTGCTGAGAGCTCGAAAAGCGTTGTAAGTTTTTATTAACATTTTTAATTTTAAAGATAGACTTGAGTTCTGTTTTAAAAAAAAAGAAAATGAATTCTCACAGAATCAAACGAAACTTACACTGAATGTTCAAGATTACAAATAAATGTAATTTGCCAAACAATTTTGGTAGAAAATTTATAGCCAACTGGCCGAGTAATGAGCATAGAAAGATAAGGAAATCAAGGATGGTAGCCCCGACACCATTTATGTAGTCCCATATACATCTTTCTGTGTACAGTGCTTGTTACTTTACCAAGACTGGGCCAAATTCATTATGGTTTTGATTACTCCAGAACCTTGCAGTACACACCAATACTTACATGCTATACATGATCAACTTTTTCTGATACATTCCACACCTTTTCTTTCACAATGCAATCGGATGACCAGAACTCAACTTTATCTTTAACATATACAGAAAGTTATATCCATGTAACAACAATAAATCAAAGAATAAATCAAATGGATCTATAGTATATTATGGAGTAGAAAACATCAGCGATCGTCAAAATACACCCCCCTCCCAAGGAAAAAAAAAGGATTTCAGTCAGCGTTCTATCATCTGCTAAACTGCTTAAATAGGATTATTTTCTAAAATTTCTGAATGAACTTTTCACCCTTATATGGCTCTCAGCATACAATATCCTGCTTATGCCTATGCTTACATTGTATTTAACACCAATGGGAAACAAAGTTCTGTATTATTATAACGTGGAAAATAAACATGATAAAACTTGAATCTTGAATCTTGAACTGCAACTGCTGATGATTATAATCTTGACTGGCCCTCGAGCCCCCTCAGGTCATGAAGGTCAATTAAAATCATTCAACTACTTAATTAATATGTGCATCCTGTGATAATCAGCCATAGACCTTAATTATTTTTCTGATAAACCATTGTCAATCAATATGTACAGATGTACGTGCGTCATTTAATACATGTATGTATATGTACTAAACCAGTTCTCTATTTCAATTCGAATCAATAATTTTTTTTTAAAGCTTCATAACTCATTAAAAAAAAAAAGCTTACACGAAATCTATACCAAATGATATTTGCAATATAAAATAGAAAATGAAATGTTTTTGTTTTTATCCAATATTTCATGTCGATAGGTAATCAAATCATTTTAGGATACAAAATATATAAGCATCATAATATCATAACTTAGGTCGAATTTTAAATGAAAAGAGAAATCCAATAAAAAGCAAAGTAATCCACTAAAAAGCAAAGTAATCCACTAAAAAGCTCTATGCAACATGACAAGGAGCAATTAGGAGAATAGCCAACCAACTCTTATAGATTAAAGTATATAAAACTTTACGGATTACAAAGGAACGGCTCGTGCGGCCGATGCATTTTACATGGATTTGCCATTGAATGAGCACGCAGTTTCCTCAAAACCATCATGAATTGAAGGGAATAATTAGCGAGATGATAGTCCTGAACTTTTATCGGACATAATGGTGACCCTAAACTAATTCTGACGCTTCGCTGATAAGGCGCCTGTACATCGAGTTGATCCCCCTTTAATTGGACGGAATTAGATATGTCATCTGAAACAGTCATAGTTTATAAACACTTTCTCTCAGTAAAGATTAATGGAGCTTAGTCATGAATAAAGCGATTTAGTGTTCTTTTATTTCTAGATTAGGAATCCATAGACGGTGGCCCTAATCTCTGTTTTCCTGAGACTCTAGTATATTTTCATCTGTCTCTGCGTTGTGAGAATTACGCACAGTGGTTTGTTTTGTAATGAAACCTATACTAAACATGATCGTTGTTTCAATTCGCTCGTAAACTTGACTGTGTAATTAAAAGAGAAATTATTATTTTGTTAATCACCACTCTACTCTATCCTAAACAATATACTAGTCATCACAGACAGAATTTAGTATCATTACAATGTAAAGCTTGGAGTGTTAAATTGTAACAATATTCTTGCATTTTAAGCCTTCCTTCAGTGAAGGTGTTTCCGAAAGTTGTAATGTTTTAATTGGTAACCATTTCGTACCGACCCCAATAGGAAACAATTAAATTTGAGTTTATACGTCCCATTTATTTGATGTTTAGTTATTTCAATTCATCAACATTTACAATCTTATGACTTTAGATGTAATGGTAATGACATGGTATTTACAGGGGTGGTCGCATACGCTTGAAGTGGCGCCCTGTAGAGAATGAAAATAAAAATATAGAAAATATATTGTATTCTTTTAAGAAGGCAGTTAAAACTATGTTATTGTCTAAGCATTGACCCTGTCGTGTGTAATTTTACTGTATTCATGTCCTTGTGCACATTGACTGTATATTCAACAATGATGTGTAATCGTCCATAACCTAGCATTGTTTATCCATTCATGAATGAACCTGCATTCAATCTGCAGATGTATGAAATGTATTGTATTATTACCAACGCTCCTTCTCTCCCCTTTCCTTTTCTTCTCTGCAAGTCACACTCTTTTAAATTTATATTTTCATTGTTGTATCTAAGTTGAGGGCTGCGGGCACGTCAAGCTACTTTGCTTATTTCTGTAGCCCTTCTGCATCTAATGTATGTTAATTATGCATTCAATATATTCGTTTAATTTCGTTTAGTATCTGTATAAAATTATATGCACTTAAAATATTGTATCAAACCATATTATGTTCATGAAAATGTATGATGAAAAAAAGAAAAAAGATACAGAAACCAATAAATCAAATCAAATCAAATCAAATATAGCGATCCATAAAAATTAGGAGAGGAAGGACATAAATATAAAAATGGCATAGGAAGAGAAAGGACAGAAGGAAGGGAGAGGGGCAGAAAGACACATTCATGATAGTATCGGGAGGAGTACCAGGCCAGTGCTTAAAGGTACTATGTCCCACTTGCAGGCCAAAAAAATGAAAAAGTTAAATTCCAACTGCATTTGAAAGACAATACTAATTTAGAACTTCCCTAAAAAAGGTGGGGCTTGAAAATGTCTTCAAGTGGGAAAATAACGACTATTAGTTGTCAAATCGACTTTAGGGCTATAGAGCCCAAAAGTAATAGTCTTGATTTTCAGACGATTGTACCGAATGATCATACGTTTTATGCTGCGCAAAGATTCAATCAGTTTAATCTTGGCCATCACAAGAAGCGGGTTATTGATGTAGACAAATGATGTGCCCTTTACAACTCTTTTCATGTATGTTATTACCAAAGAAGAAAAAAAGTAACTCAACATAGACAGTGTCTGACAGTGAAGTCTAGCAAATAAACGGGTTTCCTTCCATAATTTGAATATGAGGACACAGCTAGCGTTTAAATTTCACAGATAGGACATACATGACATATTCATAATTCCTGCAAAGTTCTACAGCATTTGAGGTTGGCTGCAAAAGGGACATAGTACCTTTAAAACAACAATCACCTTTTCACAGTTACATTTTATGACAAATTCCTTGGGTCATTGATGAATTGACAAAGGTGACGTCATACTTTAAATTGAGTTGCTCATTTTGTTAAGTAAAAAAAAAACTGAAAGGGAAGCATATCGTTTATGTATCATACAAAAGGTGATTTACTAACCCCTCGGTATACTTACACACCCCAATCAATGCAAGAGACAAAAGGGAATTAGGCGCCCCATTAAAAAAAAAATGCAATTAAAATGTCGACGTCTCACCTCTAAGGACCAAATGGGGAAGTGCATGTGGGCCCTGGATCGCATGGCTGTTCCAATGAGAGAAAACAAAAAACTCAAAATAAAATACATCACTACACATACATACATGCATACACACAGTCAACATACCAACCAACCAATCAAACAAACAAGAATTTTAGAGATTTTTTTATTACCGTAATATAGCAGGGAGACTTCATGTCAGTTTGTTTAATTATAGACTTCGATCTTTATCAAACCTCGTTAAAGTTCTTTCTTCATCACAATTCGTTCTTATTTTTCCAGACCCATCAATTAGGTGGACGAATATCAATTTATGACTTTTGGCGAGGGGGGGGGGGGGGGGGGTGGAGGGGAGAAACCCGGGGAGAAATGTAGTTTTTTTTTCTTCTTTTTGTTACTACCCCTCTTCTTGACTGGGATTCCCGAAATCTTGTTCTTGGATAAAAAGTGATGTCTACCTCAGCCCCCCCCCCCCCCCCCCCCCCCCCCCCTGTGCGCAGTAACTGTAAAATACGTATTAGTACTGCGAGGCTACAATAGAATGGACAATTTGTGGTTCCATTTCCTATTTGTCTTTCTACAGATACCATTAATATATTGCATAAGCGGATCAGACGAAATCTCTTCTTTTGCAACAGGTATATTTCATATATTTCAACTATATTTCATTTACTATCAGTTTATCAGGTAGAATACATGTTAGATGATTATTAATAGCTAAATTTGCACTCTATTACTTGTATTAAGAGTCGTAGAAAACTAGAAATACAAATGATATCGTGTGTGTGGTCCCACTCGTATGATTACATGTAATTCAATGAAGCGAGTAAAGTTAAAAATGTTAACTTTTGAAACTCTGAAAGACTACGTAATTTGATGCTAGTATTAGAAGTTTAAATTGATTTGGAATGGAAATCTACTTTAACACCAATGTTTCTATGAAGTACAACAAAGAGAGAGTCCTAAATCCTTATTTACATGGGAAATAAAATTAAAAACTGAAATTGTGTTAAAAAAAGCAAAGCAAAAACGAAAAAGGGGGAAGAACAACAAATTATTGAAAAAGATTTAAAATTAAGTTAGATCTAAGTTAATGTTACATTTACAGTTAGACTTTTATGCATTGTAAGAGTGGTTGTATAGATCAAACAAAATAGAGATGTGTTTTCATTACAAGGAATTTTATGATATCCATCAGTCCATCTCAATAATTAATGGACAAACATATTAAGTGTGACTAAGCTTACGTAATACATTGACTTGAAGGGTAAAAGTTGGAGAGATAATGGACCGACATATTGGCTTGGCACTAACCTAATAAACATTTGGAAATACTCTGAGAGTAATGGAATTGGTGCTTTATAAGTTCATAAGATCACATCAAAACATATTTATGATATCCATCATAGGAGAGTCACCCACATTATTAGAGAATGAGCTAATGTCTCGACTGGCTTTTAATAATCCTGTAAATCTGGCTCCAGCATGGAAACATCATGATTTATCAAAAGGATTTCACATGCATAGAGATTCATCCCTGCTTTGTAAAAATTCAAAAATGGACCATACCTGTAATTGTATAGTGAAAACTTTAGCTACATTTGACTATAAGTTATTATCTATCAATTTGTATTTCTTATGCCAGGGATTTATTGAATCTGTAAGTTATCTTTCTTACTATTGCTTTATTTCCTCAGGTACTAGAGTCTTATGTGGTCACTTATACAGTAATTGTATAACGTAATAAGTGTAAGAAACCTTTTTTTTTATGGTGTTTCTAAGACTGTATGAAGCTTAGATATTGAAAATGATCGATAACTGCACAACGAGTGTGCATGTTGTTATCCTCTACTTTGTTGTTTTGTAACTTAACAAATTCAAATTTTTCTGAATTTGGGCTTCCCAGATCATTCAATCTGTCATCATGCAAGGTGCAACATCTACCGGTCTCAGACTCTTAGGACGAAGCTGCTTGTTTCAGGCTGCCTCCAAGCCCAAGAATAGACTCTGGAGGATGCTCCCTCAGAGCACTGCCTCCACCAGCTGCACTGAGGTAAGTTCATTCTTGAAGTCGTTAAAGGGGAAGTCCTCCCTGATCATAAGTTAGTTTAAAGCCTGTCTGCAATAGTTCAGCCAGGAGGGATTAGACCACCCAGTGTGGTCACTGACAGGTGGTGATCTCATCAAATCTGCTCTCAATCACATTAAAAAAAGGGGATGATGGGGACCAGCGGTCACTGATTAGGCATTGTTTGCTATATAGAGGGCACAAGGAACTATAAGTAGCGCAATGGGGCTTTAAATAGAAGCAGAAAAATGAGAGGAACAGGTCAGTGATAATTTTAGCAAATTTCGATTAAAATAATAAAGTCATGAATTTTTGGAGGTGCGATCAATCAAAAGCAATCAAACCACAACTTGGTAACTCTGACATGTACCTTGCAAAAGTGAGTGAAATTGTCAGTAGGGCATCTGATATTTTTACTTAGATCCCTTGTCTGTTGTTAGATCATGAAATTATTGAAAGTGTTATTAATTTTGTATGTAATGCCTAAATTAGCATAATCCTGGATCAAACTACATACATGTGTGTCTATTAGGATGATATAAGATCTTGAAATCCTTAAAATTCTTCAATTCATTTGTAAATCTAAGTATGATGAGTTAATTTTTTATTTAACTTGACATTGATTGTATTCATTTTGTGTTCCTTGGACAGTGTGTAACATGCAGGCATTTGCTCCACACCTGTACCAGAGGGATGGCCAGCAAACAAACCACCACATTCCCACGGCCAACTTCTGTCTCCCAGTCTCCATACCCTCAGCACGTTCTGCTGAGAGAAGCAAGCAGCAAGGCAGACAAGGCCCCTAAACGTGGAAGGAAGGGGGTAAGTGATATCACCCAATCCTCTATGTTATTTTTCCCCTCAACACCACCTTTGTTCATGGCAACATAAAAATAAATGCAAGGTAACTCCAGGCATCATTTTATGAAACCGTCATAAGTACAAGTTCACTGAAAGTTTGTAGAGGAAGACAGAGAGCTGACCGTACCAAAAACATTGATATTGATATTGATTTATTCGTTCACAATGTGGAAATATACTTCCCACCAGCATTACAATGACACAAGAAACAGAGTACAATAATATGAAACATGCAAAAACAATTAAGCAAACAATTTCAGAACAGAAAAAATCTAGTCATTTCACAGAAATAATTTTTATGCCATCAACAATTGTTAAATTTCCCTTCTGATTAGATGAATAAATGATTACCGCTAGACCATCTCACATCTCAATGTAAACCTCAAGAGATGAAGAATCAAACCATGAATGCCAGCCCCCCCCCCCCTCCCAAGAAGAAAATAGAAGCAACAACAAAGAGACCACATTGGAGAAAGATTGATGATAGGTTCTTTGGATTTGGAATGTATTATATTCTTTGTAAAAAGCAAATTATATTTTGTTCTTTTTTCCTGATAAAACATTCAACATTCTTTTTCAGCCCATAACTTGGAAATCCTTAGCAGTGGTTGCTGGTATTGGCGGTGCAGCTTTGTACGCCTTCAAGTCTGCTAAGGAGAAGAAAGATTTGCGTAAGTTAAGACGTCTAAAGAACCTTCACTAATTTTCAACATGTTAGCAATGTTCTTTAATATCATAATGTTTTTAATGTTATCTCTAACCACCTCTCTATTTTATGCCTGTTGTACTGTCATATCTCAAATATTGTTCATGTTTCACTACCCACCTTATCCCTGTCTGTCTCCCATCTCTTGTTCTGTCTGCTATACTATTCTCCCCCTTCTCTATCTGCTTCTTTCTTGTTCAAATCTAGGGTCTAGATGTCAATCAATCCTTATTATTAGTTGCCTCTAAGACGCGCAGTTCCTGGGGGGATAGAGCCTTTTCTCATTCTGGTCCGTCCCTTTGGAATAAGCTACCACTAGTATTCATAATTTAACAGCCCTCCATGACTTCAAAGTTACGAAAGTGATATGTTTGAGATTGTAATATGTACAGCGCCATGAGCGTCAGAGTCTGGCAGATACCGGCGCTATATAAATATCCATATTATTATTATTATTATGCCTTACCATAATGTCTCTCTCTTATGCTGACACTTTTAGAAATCCAGGCCGAGAGGAACAAAGCTGTTGGCAAGGCCGCTATAGGAGGACCGTTTGATTTGATAGACACCTCTGGAAAGCGGAAGACAAACAAGGATTACCTCGGGCAATGGGTTCTCCTGTATTTTGGCTTCACCCATTGTCCAGACATCTGTCCAGATGAGCTGGAGAAGATGATTCTAGCGGTCAACAAAGTCAGTAAGTATCAGTCCCTAGAATGGGATGTAAAATGTTGGGTCAGGAGATGGGTGTATACTGGATATATTCAATATTGATTAAATGATGGAGCTAGGTAGGTGATTTTTTTAATTGCATTAATTAGGCAAAATTATGTTCCTCCTCTTGTTGAGTAGTTCAACTCTAAGTTGGACTTAAACATTATGGAAAGCCATTGTAGCCTTAAAATAAAATATATTCAAGAGCAAAATTTAGACTTTTTATAAATTCCACATCAATAACACGATGAAATCTCCTTGATAATTGAAGATAGGAATGATTTGAATCAATATTTTATGCCGTTTTTAAATAACTTTTACAAAATATTTTCAGAGATGCTAACAGCTTTCCATAAGTTTAAGTCAAACTTAAAGTTAAGTTTAACTTTGGATCTTTGTGAATCACCCCCTGTACTGCAAGGTTGAGAATATATTGTAACTCTAAAGCCAAATTTCCGATAGAGCGCCCAGTATCCTCTAAGAATGGTATGTTCTTATGAAATTATATATGTTGAAGTGAATACTTATCCCATCACTGCTGTGCTTTTCATTACAGATAGTAGCCCAAACTGTGACAAGGTCGTTCCAGTATTCATCTCCATTGACCCGGAAAGAGATGATGTGGAAACCATGGCAGCGTATGTCAAAGGTCAGTTTTTGATCATAGCACCATTACTCTCTCCTCAATTGAACAAACTGAGGGACAAATTGAGTAACAAACTGAGCAAAATTCAGCCATATATTCTGTCTGGGTAATGTTAAAATAGAATACTGAGTTACCATGGCAGCGAATGTCAAAGGTCAGTTATTTCTCGCATCATCATTACTCTCTCCTAAATTGAACACACTGAGGGACAAATTGAGTGACAAACTGAGCAAAATTAAGCCATATATTCTGTCTGGGTATTGTTAAAATAGAATACTGAGTTACCATGGCAGCAAACGTCAAAGGTCAGTTATTAACTCTTATCGTGCCAAGAACACTGTTCTGTGCATGCGCTGGCATGCCACGCTCACATAATCGGTTTTCTGGTGACTTGCCATGCACACATAAACTCTCATTCGCTGGCATGCCACGGACACATTTTCGTCCATAAGTACACACGCTAATTGTTTATGCATATTGTGCGATGCGCACTGCGTGCACGCATGAATGCTTATTGTATTTGTGTAAGGGGTTTGCGTGCTTCACATATACCATTTCATTGGATTTTCCTGAGAAAATTGCGATATTTTATCATCAAATCTGTCAGTTATGATCATTGCCCCTCAGATTGTGTGCGGGAAATGAGACAACGGATTGGTTTGACAACTCACTGATAGTGCTTATTTACTTTACCAAAATTACAGATTCATGAAATGATATTGGTATCAACAGAAAGAAGGTTAAATTTCCTACAACTTTAATGTACAATTTTTTTTAATACAATATGCGGATGAGATGTTATAGTGGATCAAACATAGTAACAATTTAAACTACACGCACTTGAACCAACCCTAAATTAACTTGGCACTCAGGGGATTAGTGGCTGGCACAATAGGGATTAGCACTGTGGCACTGGGTGAATTGCATGGGGGCAGCTTAAGAGTTAAAGGCAGCACCATTACTCTCTCCTCAAATTAACGAACTGAGCGACAAATTGAGTGACAAACTGAATGAGCAAAAGTTAACCATGTTTTGTCTGGGTAATGTTGAAACAAATACTGAAATACCATTCTCTTTTATGTATAAGGCAATTCCACAAATTCAGCTTTCTTAGTCTGTTGATATAGGCTATATTGCCTTCTGAAAGAGACTAGACCGTGTTAAATGCTTCTAAAATATTTTTTTTTAAATAGGAGAGAGACAAATTAACACCTGATTGTCAGTGATTGACAAATAATACTTGTGTGCAATGTGAAATCAGAAACTACCCTTTATGAGAGGTTGAGATGGAGAAAGTTAATTCATAACATGAAGGTTTTTTTAAAATTCACCTTAGTTTCTTTGCTTGAAAGGGCCGATATCAACAATTTGAGGAAGCTATTTTTTGTGTCATAATGTATATGATCTTGTTTTCATTCTCTTTCTAATGTGATTTTCCCAGAATTCGACCCCAACCTAGTTGGACTGACAGGATCTAAGGAGAATATTGATGAAGTATCAAGAAACTTCAGAGTATACTACAGCATGGGACCAAAGGATGAAGACAATGACTACATTGTGAGTTCTAATATCTACTTACTTACTTACTTACGTTGATGTTTACTTTGATGTTGAGGCATAAGGATAAACTTATTTGCCCCCTCCAGCTAATACTATCTCTCTGGTTTGGACTATACTTGAGGGAGTGGCTGTACCAATATTTCCCAAGGATGGATTTGAACTGATTTACACTTGTTGCACTGACTGCTGAGTCTGGTAAGGAATTCCAATTGTTGCAACTTTGCACAGAGAAGGAATTTTGACGTAGCACAGATTTACACTTTGGCTTCCTTAATTTCATACTGTGGCCTCTGGTTCTGGATTTGTGGACTAGTTGAAAACATTTGTTGATATCCATCCGGTCAATCCCTTTCATAATCTTCAAGATTTGAATCATCTCAGCTCTCTGTCTTCGGTTAATGAGTGTCTCTAACCCGAGGGCTTTCAATCTCTCATGGTGTTCTAGGGGACGAAGATGTGCGAGTTGACGCGTGGCTCTTTACTGCACCTTTTCCAGTAAATCTTCATCTTTCTTGAACATGGGACACCAAACCGAGTTGCAATATTTAAGAGTAGGCTGGATAATGGTCTTGTAGAGCATAAAGCCATCCTTTTTCATTCAGACTTGAAAAGGATCTCTTTTTAATACCCAACTTGATGTTGGCTCTTCTTGCTACATCTGCCACATGATCTGAGAATGATAGTGCAGAGTCAAAGTAACTCCAAGGTCCTTCTCACAGTCGGATACAGGTATATTGCTAACTTCTCCAGCATTTGCTATGGTGTAGTCACATTTCGTGTTACGCCTCCCATAATGAATGACCTTGCATTTTAAAATATTGAATTGTAATTGCCATTTCTCAGCCCATCTCGAACAGCTTGAATATCCTTTTGAAGGTTTTCAACATCACTTCTGTTTTCCACAACACTATAGACTTTTGTATCGTCTGCAAATAAGTGAATTCCTGATGTTACATTCTCAGGCGAACCGTCAATGTAACAGAGAAATAGGACAGGCCCGTGAACACTTCCTTGCCGAATTCCGCTGGATACTGGGCACGATGGTGATTGTCTACTGTTAACTGATACTCTCTGTGATCGTCCTGTCAAGCACTCCTTTATCCAGTAATGGATATGTCCTAAAATAATGTTGGCTTGTAGCTTACAAAGGAGACGTTTGTGAGGGACAGGGTGAAAAGTCCAAATATATTCCATCGACGGGGCAAAATTTAGGACCTTCTAAACACTTCTGCCACTCATGTGTGAGATGTAATACGGTACTCGACACACGACTTTCCTTTCCTAAATATGTGTTTGAAGGTGGCGATTGGACATGAAGAATCAAGATGAAATTCAATTTTAGCAACTATCAGCGATTCCATGATTTTACACCCAACTGGAGTAAGGGCCACCGGACGATAGTTAAACGGAGATGACTTATCACCAGATTTAAACACAGGTGTAACATTGGCAGATTTCCACACGGTTGGGACTTTACAAAGAGCTAGTGATACAGAATAGATACGCTGGAGGATGGGAGCTGACAATGGCAGTATGTTTTAGCAAGGAGAGAGAGAGAGACCATCTGAAGATGTTCAGTCGTTTATAAACATGTTAAACAAAAGCGGTCCAATCACACTTCCTTGGGGGACACCAGATGGAACTCTAGTCCATTCAGAGACAGCACCTCTATAGATTACTCGTTGGCGGCGACTGCAGAGTAGTGACTTTATCCAATGCCATAGATGTTTCAGCAAGGACGGAGAGAGACCATCTGGACCAGGGACCTTCTTTTCCCAGAGAGAAAGTAGTTGGCGGTAGACATCACTTACACAGATATCAAAATGCTGTAGATGGTTAATTTGGGAAGTCACTGTTAGTCACACTTCTCAGGTTGACATGGAACTCCCTGGGGATCAGTAAAGGAGGTTTGAAAAGCTGCAAGAAATTCAGATGCAATATCCTGTGGTTTGTTAAGGATGCGACTATGGAGTACCGCTCGTGATATTAATATGAATAATTAATGATTGATAAGTCCAGCATAAAAATACACATTCAGATTTTTCACACTATGCAGAAGTGGAAGAGATGAAAACAACAACAACAAAAACAACAAAACAAAACAACAACAACAATAATAACAACAGAAAAGAACAAAACAAAACAACAACAATAGCAAAAACACTAAAATGTACAAAGTACCTGTTTTGCATTGTAAGTGTGTAGATGGAATATTATCAGTATATCTGATGTCTTGTCTAAAGTTTGCAATGAATTTGCAACTAGCTGTGAGTAGGTAACGCAGTAACTTTCCTCATCTTTGCTGTAAATACAGGCCACCGCCTTATGCACTCTCAATTTAGTTTTAGTGAGGCGTACCCCTACATATACTCAATCTCATGAAATTGTGCACACTTTATAACATTAATAATAATAAAGTCATTTTTATATAGCGCATGATAATAAATTCTCTATGCGCTTTACAACAATCAATTATACAATAAATTACATGATTAATCTGAAGATTTAAATATGCATGAATTGACAGAAATACATATCATATATAATAATGCCAAAATCGATATAAACTTTAGAACACAATTATAATACCGGTAGTTAAATAATTACAATCTTTTATTGTAGTAAGGAAATAACAATATTTGACATAAACTATCATATAATTACAGACTATTGGATGAACATAAATGTTTTCAGAAGTGATTTGAATGAGTCGACCGTCGGGGCGTTAAGAATATTGAGGGGGAGGTTGTTCCATAGAGTGGGTCCATAGTAGCTGAGGGATCTTTCGCCATAGAATTGAGTATGGGTGCGAGGGACTTGTAGGAGACTTTGTTGCTGAGATTGGAGAGTGCGGGCAGGAAAATATGGATGGATTATCTCACATAGGTATTAAGGGGCTTTGCCATGGAGTATTTTGTATGTGAGAAGAAGAACTTTGAAGTTTATTCGTTTTTTGACAGGTAACCAGTGGAGACGAAGGAGGATGGGTGATATGTGGTCTGACCGTCGGGATTGCTCAATCATTATGGCTACAGTATTTTGAATGCGTTGTAGTTTGTTCGCTTCTGATACAAGTTGTTTTTCCATCCTACTGTTTTACAGGTTGATCACACAATCATCATGTACCTGTTAGGACCGGATGGAAGCTTCATTGACTACTACGGACAGAACAAGACAGATGAGCAGGTGGCCGGTGGAATCGCAGCGCAGATGAGAAAATTCAAACGAATACAAGCTGGAAAATAACGCTAGAGAAAGACTTCAAAATCTTAACATTCTTAAATGTCTATTTCTTTTTTACGCTACTTTTATTTATAAATTATTTAGTTTTGTAGTAAGTTTGAGAATAACTTAAAGGTACTATGTCCTATTTGCAGGCCAAAACAATGAAAAGGTTAAATTCCAACAGCATTTGAAAGACAATACTAATTTAGAACTTCCCTACAAAAAAGGGGGCTTGAAAATGTCTTTAAGTGGCAAAATAACGACTATTAGTTGCCAAATCAACTTAAAAGCTATAGAGCCAGCAATGTTTGAATATTTTGAAAGTCCATCAAATCTGAGAAGCATAGCAAAGGTAGTACCAATTTTTATCTAAAGATTGAGGAGCCTTCAGTTTGTCATTTTATTTGATAATGTCAAAACCTAATGCCTGCTCCTTTCTTTTCTAGCTAAGGGTAATAACCAAATCATGCTGATGATTGCACATCAATGGAAAGATTAATTTGTTTACAACTTTTTAGCCACTCAATGAATTTGATTGTAAGGCTCTTGCTTGCTTTTAAGCTGTACTTCGTTCATATAATGTGTGTTTGCTTTTCTCTGAAGGAAACATGTCCTGTACCCCAGATTGTTATTGTGACACTGGTATACGCAGTACATTTATTTGAGAAAGAGATAGTTTAGGCAATTTTTGAGTTCATAGCAAATGAAGAGTATTTAATGACAAAAGCACTCTATCATGACTTGTAATAAACAAATCAACTCCTTGATTCTAGAATTTTTAAAATCATTTTTCTCAGTGTTCAAATTTAGTTAGAATTTCTCAAAGTCTGTTTCTAGGATTATGTTTTGATGCAACAATTATGTGATTCACATTGAAATCAAGATTAATGCCCTTCCCAATCCAATGTGCAAACTTGTTTTATCATGACCAATGTACCTCTATGTAATAAACATCTATCTTTGACAGAGAAATGACAAGATCATCTGTATTCACATAGCAATCAGCTTTGTTGTTCATGTTTTTTTTCTTCAATTTTTAGTTGAACAGAATTGTTGTCCTCATTCGTAACCTAGCTTATTCAATGTTTATCTCTTTGTTATGCAATCTTTTCTTTTATGATTTAAAACAAAAATCATGTAAACATTTCTTTATTTGATAAACAAAAATCTTTTTGAAATGATTAAAATGAATATTGAACTTTAATCTATGCACTGAAATGTCTACTGTTTTTTTTAATTTTTAAATTCTTTTACAATTTTGTGTTACTATTTAATTGTACAAGTAATGATTTTCTGTATGATAGTCTTAGGAATCATGTTTAGATTATATTTGTAAACAAATTCTGGACTTAGCCTGAGTTTTGCTCTGTATGATATCAATTTGTTAGTTAGGGTTGTTGAATGAAAAAGTTTCCTCCAAGTGGTTAAAGAAGAATTGTAAACAAAATCTGTATTGTGTTTCATAATACTACTTGCCACCAAGAATGTGTAGGCCTACATCTTTATAAAATGTTTGATCATTGATAGTGAAAAATTGGCCAAAGCTCTACCAGGTTTTCAAAAAAGTATTGAATAAACATCCGAATCATTGCATGGAAACATCAAGATATTTATATAGGGCCTACATTAAATTGATTTGAGAAGAGAGGGAGAGAGGAAGAGAAAGGAGGAGGGGGAGGGCCTGGGCCCCCACTCAGTGTGGGTACGCGTATGCATGTTCCCTCCTTTTGAAAACACCCCCCTATTAAAGTCCGGTGTGTAAAGTCGATACGGGCCGGATTTTTATGTACTTCGAGCCGGACTTTGGTGCGTGCATGAAAAGTACCCCTTTACCGGACATTTTGGGAACACGCATGCTGTCCCTCCGACACCGGAGTTGGGGGGGGGGGGGGGGCTGATTGACAGAGAGAGAGGAAGGGGAGGCAGTTGGACGTTAGACAAGAATGGATATTGAGAAAAGAAAGAGTGAGTGAAGGGCATGCAAGAGACAGAGAGAGAGAGAAAAAGAGAAAGAGGGGAGAGAGAAATAGCCACCCCGTTGATTTGCTCTCCAATAGGGACAACCAAAGAGATTGTAATATCCTCCTTGGGACAACGCAGTAATAAAGCTGAACGGTAGAAGGATGCATACATTTAGACAAAATGGCATGAGTCACGAAGGGATCTTCTGCAAATATTGGTTCATGAATGATGCCTTTGCGCATGCGCAATGCCCAACAAAATGGCAGCGCCCATGGTCTTAATTCTGTACATCCTTCTCGCAGTCGTTTGAAGATTAAAAAGTCCTTGCAGGTGAGCTGATGCATCTTTTTCTTAACAAACAGTGTGTTCGAACAATTTAAGTAAAGAGTTCCTTTTGAGGAAATGTTCAATTTGTTAGAAATGCCTGAGTAGTGTAATTACTGAAAGTCTTTCCTCCAACAAAATTGTAACAGGGTCCCATCTGTCCATAATTGTGTGGTTAATTTTTCCCTCACTTCTGACGTTGTCATGGTTGTGAGCGCGAGTATTGTTATCGGCATTGCATCGCTCTGTGAATCGTGTGATTGATGAGGTGTTAAAAAAGGTGTTGTATTGCCCTTTGCGACCGACACCAAAATCTCACCATCTACAAGAGTCTATGACTATGGTCGGCTTTTTGATGAAGTTTCAAAAAAAAAAACATTTTTAGAAGAAAAAAAGTATTTTGTAAATGGGATATAGAGTCTAGATAGGGTTTAACCTTTTGACAAGGCCTCGTTGACTCTGGCTTAGCGGCTGAGATGAGTCTAGATACCCGGAGTGAACGCGCGACCGAATGACGAATGTCATGAGGCCTTTTGGAAAGTGGGTTTCACTGCTCCGCATGAATTGTTCATAGATACAATAGTAGGCCAATACGCCTACTTTGGATTCATTGACCAATCAGAACGGCGATCTCCTAGTTGGCTTCGTTCGTGATTCATTCCATGTAGAGGTCAGTGGTCAGTGGTCTTAGCACGTACGTATAGTAGGCATGTAGGTCCATGTTCGCACTACGTAGAGTTTACTGTGTGTGTGTGTGTGTGTGTGATGGATACTATATGCTGACGTCGTGCTAGGATACGTTCGCTGATTGGACACTACGTTTTCTGAAGCGAGTTCCAGTCGGAAACAAGGGTTAACATAAGAAATCCAAACCAGATTGATAAAGGCCACAGGTCTGGACAATTCGCACTGGCGTTCATTCAGGTTTTCGCGATTAGTCTCTTTTTAGTCGCTCGGCGTCTATCAGGCATGTGGCCTGACAATTCGCACTGGCGTTCATTCAGGTTTTCGCGATTAGTCTCTTTTTAGTCGCTCGACGTCTATCAGGCATGTGGCCTTGTTTAAAGGCTAGATAGGGTTTAGTCTAAATGCATAAAGTCATCAAATTCTTACTCATCTTCTGCCCTAGTTTTGAGATCCTGCTAGTGTAAACAAGTCACTGAAGTAGACCCTGGCCTTGTGTAGGCCTACGTAGAATCTATACAATGCACAGTGCAGCTTGAGTTTTTTGTGTGACGGTCGCTGTTTTGAGGGGAAAAAATGAAGAAGAAAAAATCTGACCGACCGACCCAGGTTCTGGCACCCAAATCATGCGAATGGCAATGCAACATCTTTTTTTTTCAGGCCGGAGTGTAGCAATTATTATACATATAGGGGTCTACATTTAACAACTGAATATTTAAAGAGAGAGGATGTTTTAGGAGTCCAGCCGTAAATGGATATAAAGCTGTGAAGCTATTTACTGTAATTCACTCCTAGTCCTACAATGCATGAAGTCTAACTGTAAACAGGATGTTTTGACAATTATTTAACTGGAAATAAACACGTCTCATGGGTGTGGCCATTTTGGATTCACATTGCCATGTACAATCGCTGATGAGCTTAGTTCATTTTTTTTAGAGTTCATTTTAGAGTTCATCTTGAATCTATCTTTTTTTCCATGTTATGAGTTCATATTCAAGTGTCTATTGATCTTGTAGATAAATGTGTGTGTGGGGTATTGTGATGGATATTTGAAAGCGAGTTCACTCGTCACACAACATAACTCTTATTTTTATTTAGCTACGAGGAAGCAAGGTTGCACTAACAATAAAATACATGAAAGAAAGTATTCCCTTTTCGTTAATTTATTGAGTACTGATGAGGCTGGCCGTACACTTGCAAAGTGTAGCCAAGCACAAGCCGAAGAATCAGAATGAAAATGCATAAATGGTAAATGTGAATATTGCACAGAGATTACATAATGACATAGATGAAATGACGTCGAAAGTCCAATGATCAGAAGAGATGTAAAGAACGAAGGAAGGGGCTCATGCGATGAATGTTGCAGAGGTTTGAAGGCGGAGACGAAGCTTCGTAGTCGTGGCTGAAGAGCCGTGAAGAATCTTGACGCTGACGCTCGTGATGAAGATAGTGAAGAAGCTCTCAGGCGAGAAGAGAAGAGAAGAGATGTGGCGCTCGACGACGAAACAGTGGGTCGTTCGATGTCGGAGGCGAAGAGTAGAAATGATGAAAACAAAGTCAGTGCCGATGCGAAGCAGTGAGTCGCTCGATGAGTCGGATGAGCCGAACTTTGATTGATGTGAAGTTCATCAGAGCTGCGGTGAATCGAACTCGTTGATGAACTGTTCAGACGAGCTATGTGAGTCATGCTCGTGTGGGGTGACTCTACCGGAGCAAAGATACTGGCAGCTCCCAGCGGAGGATCAAGCGCCATGTCGGGTCTTGATTTAAACTGTTCCACTGGAAAACTGCCAGCCCGTTGTGGACGGCAGAGAAAATGTAGATGTGCCGTAGAATAGGCGAAAGGCACAGAAGAAATCTTGAGTGTAGAGAGAGGATCACAGAGACGTGTGGACTCAACCGAGGTGTAAGCGGGAGTCAAGGAAAACCTTGTGGCGTTGAAAATACGCGGGTGAACGATGCGCGGAACCACGGTGCTCGATTGGAAGGAAAAACACACGTGGTCCGAATAATGCATATAAATAAGTGGCGTGATGGAAAAATACTGGAGACATGAATGTACGATAAAATTAGGGCGAATGTAAGAGCCGCTACAATCTTAACACTCACTTCTGTGGCGGGACAAAATTACATCAGGAATATTGGTATGGCAACTGACGGGTTAGCTAGTAAACTTTTCAAACTTGACCATGATTTTGAATGTGTCAGGAATAAAAAAGGCCGTTGTAAGAACTTTTTTTCTTTCTGTGTAGCCTGATGTGTGAAAAAGTATCTTTTCATGCAGGAAGCTTTGTGCTCTGGATGGAATATTGAGGCATGATTTCCTGGTTATGAAAGTATTAGATTTTATGAACTACTAGTTTTGGGAAGAGTCATTGATTCATAGTAAGAAAAAATTCTTATTTTCAATAAGAGGTTGGTTTGTAAATACCGGTAAGAAGAATAGAATTGCATTTGTACCAGTTGTAGCTCAGTACAAATATTTTTGGAAATCGTGATCATCTTTAGAAGTAGACGAGCAACTTCAATGAATTTTCATACTTCATCACCATCAACATCAATATAGTCTTGTTTCCCACAACATTCGGGATTGATTTCTGTGGATGTATCTTCAAAAGGTAATTCGTACAGAGCTACAATTTAATCTCTGTATCAACAATATAAAAATATCTGTCTTCAAATGCATCCAACATATTTCTCAAATGAGTCATTAATAAGATCCTGAGAGTTTGATCATGATACTTATTGTTCGTTAATCCTATCGTTTTTATTCTTCAATTTTCCCTACCATCATATAAATTTTGTTAGTTTAACAAATTTGTATATAACTTCTTTGTATAACTTCTTTGTATAAACAATTGTATAAGTTCTTTGTAAAGTATGTAAACGGACTTGCTGGAAAGCAGTTTTAAAAAAAAAATCACTGTATTGAACAAACAAAAACAACAACACAAAAAACAATGAAAGATGTACCAGCTGTGATTTTCCACTCTTAAATATTCTTCTCATCATTAGTTGCACTCGCAAATTCACACTCTCGCCTCTTCTATCCTGAAAACTTAAAAAAGAAGGTGAACACTGACAAATAATAAAACACGATCTTTGAAATTTATTCTACAAATTTATTTCCATAATGAAAGACATTTTCAACATTCAGCATATTTTTTTTGAAGGAAGTGTTTTTTTTATGAAAGACCATACTTTTCACAGTAACTGTAAAATTACCACATTGCTCATTGATCAGTGATCATTGAAATGTCATTATCTTAATTAGAATCTGATATTTATTATCCAAAATTTGTTTAACAATTATATATCTTTTTTTACATTTCGTAAATTCGTATCACATTTCGTACTATTCGTATCAAATGTAAAAAAAGATATACTGTTCTGTCAGACTTTATGACATGTATCCATTTGGATACATGTCATAAAGTCTGACAGAACAGTTTCATGTTCGATTGTGATACTGGATGTTTGTTTAGAAATGAAATAAAAACACATAAAATTCTAGACGACAAGATCAACAAGATGGCACTGAAATAAAAACATTAACAAAAAAGAAATAAAAACAAAAATCTAAAAAACAAAATATTACATTTTTCATACCCCTTCACCAAACTACCACAAATTAAAGAAAAATATATGAACTTGAAATATTTTATATGATTTATCAGAAGCTATTTTGCTAAAATTGGTATGCTGGCTGTTGTATAATCTATGAGAAAAAGTAACCTTTAAGATCATAATTACACAATAAAAGAGGTTTATACATTTCAGTTTAATTCAATTCTATAATATACCACATTTCAGCCTTGAATAAATATGATATAACCAACGATAAGCTAAAAGAATGAAGAGAAATGTATTTTTATGGTTTCTAGAAAGTATACAAATGTCTAGTGAATAGATGAATATAAAGTGAGATAACATTCGCTGAGTTGTTTGAATATATGGTTAAAGAATCAGTCAAAATCTGTCATGTTACAATGGACAGAACGGAAGTAACATCATGGTAACAGCAAAAACTTAAAAAGAGAAAACTTAAAAAGAAATTGAATTAACTGATTATCAGAAGCTTGTCACTGTTTTATTTTTTTTTATTTTTATATTTAACAGGATTTTTTAGTGGTAGAGAAAGGAATTATGGACATTTTGCTTCGAAATACTCATGTTTAATGGGCTTAAATTTTCATCTAATTCATTCAAATGGTTGCCATAATCTTATGTTACCTGTAATGATTTTGGATAGTTATTGAACATCAAACAATAGTTCATTAAAAAGTTGTAAAAGGGAAACAGACCATTTTCGTTTCAACCCATGTTTAAGAAAATAAATTAGAAAATTCAATAGATAAAAGGTTTGTGAAATCTAACTCATCTTGACTTATTTTACTGTATTTTGATACTAACATGTTGGAGGAAAGTTCAAAACGTTCAAATATTATATCATTTTACATTTAGGGACCTTGTACATGTAGATAGTTTTGTGGCCAAATACATAAAGCGAGCATTGGGCTCTTTTTGCATTATGCTTGTGAAGATACAAGGAAAGGGTCGCTTAAACCAATCACTAGTATTTTATGACCCATTGTGATGTAGTTTATGCTTTAGAAGGTCGTGCTTTTCTGCTCGTTCCCAGAGCTGTTCTTTTGGTAGAGGGCCCAGGAAGCGAAGATCAGATGAAGCTGCAAGGAGAAAAAGAAGGAAATAAAAAATCTTGTTTATTCATTCAAATAGTTTGTCAAAAAGGGTAAAAGAAGCTACAAAAATAAGTGGAGAAAAGTTAGAAAAATAACCCCCCCCCCCAAAAAAAAAAGAGCAAAAAAAAAAAAGAAAGAAAAAAAGAAAAAGAGATGGCAGAAAAAGAAAAGGTAGAAAAATTAAAACAAAAAGATTGGACAAAATACTAGTTAGAGATGGATACAAATATGGATAGAAATTCAGAGTAAATACATGTACACTCCATTTCGAACTACATATCGCCATATTAAGAGGTCTACAAATAGTTACAAAGACACAGATAATCATGTTCCTTTACACTTTGATTTCTGAGTGAAAAGGATTGACTCCTAACCTATAAGTCAGTTCATTTTTTAAAGAATTTGTATTGGTAATCCAACGTATTTTGTCCCATACATGAAATGTGATATGTTGATAGCCCCAACTAGAGTTTTTGTGAAATAAAATATCAAGGAAAAGGGCACTTATTTCTCTTTTTTTTCAATTTTCTTATTTTTTTGGCAACGTTTGGGACAACGAAATGACCAAATACCTTTGAATGCCCATATATAAACGTGCAGAAGGATACCACCACAACAAATTCTTTTAATAGTTTTATACATACATATCTTACAAGTAATTCATGTCGCTGAACCCCTTATGCCACCAATTTGTACAGAATAAAGAGGTTTATACTTGGCACTTCATGAATCATTGGACAAAGTTGTGACGGGTTGAATTTGTCAACATGTTTGTGCATGTAGTAAGTAGATCAATGCTGCTGGGGGTATTTCACAAAGATTTTAAGTCGAATTTAACTCTAAGTTTGACTTGAAAATTATGGAGAGCCACTTGTAGCCTTAAAATAAAATATATTAAAAAGCAAAAATTTAAGTATTTCAGACTTTTTATAAATTCCACATCAAGAACATAAAATCTCCTTGATAATAGAAAATATGAATGATTTGAATCAACATTTTATGCCTTTTAAAATAACTTTTACAAAATATTTTCAGAGCTGCTAACGGCCTTCCATATAATTGTTAATTCCAACTTAGAGATAAGTTCAACCTAGGATCTTTGTGAAACACCCCCTGTTATACATTCCTTGGGACTTACCATGTAAATGAACCTGATACAAAACCAGAGGATCTCTCCCAGAATCAGAGGTTCAGATCCAAGGCTAGCAGTTGTCTGCCACAAAAAAGAGATGAATTTGAGTTTTATTACATGAAATTGTTGAATATTATTAAAAAAAAAAAAGAAGATTTTCGGGATAGTTGACGGATACAAGTGGTTTCTGCTTTGGTTCTTTAAGAGTTATGGTTTATATTGTTTAATTTCATTTATTGATAAATATATCTGAAGGGAAATATCATCACATTATTTTCACTGCTAATTTGCCTGAAGGTCTCTCTAATGCCTCAGTCATACCTTTGCGTATTTCGCTTGCGTATTGCTGTGTATTTATGGCAAGCCGTTTTAACATTTATTCCTATCTCTTGATATCAAGAAATCATTTTCTGTTGTAAAGCAATGCTAATTCTTGATATCAAGAAATAGGAATAAATGTTAAAACGGCTTTCCAAATATATACGCAGCAATACGCAAGCCAATGTGACTGAGGCATATGAGAGAAAAAAGGAAGAAAAAAAAAAAGAGAAGCACAAAAAGAATGAAAGAGAAGAAGAAGATAAAGAAAAGGAAGAAGAAGTAAGGAGGATAAACATTTTCAATAGCTCTTGTTTGAAGGCGGAAGCGCACCTTTTGAGTTGTGTTATAAATATAGGGGTAGGGCGTGGGCCGGGTGTGATCCCCCTTAACAAATGCTAGTGGTCATGACGATAAGTAAAATGTATTGGCATACGTACCACGGAGGAGCTGAAGAAGGTGACGCCGAAGAAGACGAGCGCTCCGAGCTCGAGAATGGATCCGAGTGATGCCATGATGGAGAAAAAGGCCACCGGAACCGAATAGTACTGTAAAACGGGAGAAAAATGAAGTTAAGTTAACTGTAATTCAGTATCAATAAGTTCATTTGGTGAAAATAATATCGGATTTGAGTAATCTATCATATTAACCATCATGGAACCTGTTCTGTTAATGTCATCCGTAAATAATACCTTTGAAGCACATACATGTAGAGACGGTATGCCTTAGTAAATCCAGATTTATTGCATGTTTTCTTACGAAGTAGAACTCCACATCAAAATAGTGATCTTTATAATCATACATGTATTGAATTCTTTGTTGTAGAATTAAATTTCATTGGGAAGAATTAATGTCAGAAAAATGAGCATCAAGATTCTTGATGTTTGAAAGGTTCAAAATCTCCATGTATCGGAAAAAAATTGCCTCTCTTTAAATTTTGAGTGAGTTTCAACCCATGTTTATTTTTTTCAAGATGATGTCTCTTTCTAAGAACAAATTTAGCAATGAAAGGAAATGCCAGCGTTGCCAATTTGAACATGAAGCCTGATCACATTGTCCCTTTCAAAGTTCTCGCCCCGAACGACAATTTGTTGTCTTGGCAAAGCTGCACTGTAGTAATTTTATATAATATACAACACGATATAAGCATAACAAAATAATCAACCTTGGAAAGCCTTCTACATTGCCCATAGAAATGTGTAAACATGGCAATGACGTCATCAAAATACGGGCAGCGTTTCACAAAACCGTCGAGAGTACAAATTAACGCACGTCTCAATAAGTTGTCGGTGAACTTGTACTTATCACGGTTTCGTTAAACGACGCACTGATTGGTATTATTGGGTTGATGTTTTGAAAGTCTTTGGGCCGAATTCACAAAGAAGGTTTAACTTAACCCATGGTTTAAACCCTCATTTACATAATCCATGGTTTAAAATTTAGTGCAAAATAAGCAATGGGCTATGTAAATGAGGGTTGAAACCATGGGTTAGATTTAAACCTCCTTTGTGAATTCGGGCCTTTGCGATCTTGTTTCATACTCACCCAGTAGGCGCCTGCGAAGAGGATGAGGGTGAGCAAAGGGAAGATGATTCCGGTGCCAGCGATCAAGAAGTAGTGAAGAACCAATACGGCTACAAAGAAGAAGAAGAAGAAAATAATGGTCACCACGATCAAACTATTATGAAAGATGTTTAATCGATTCTTATCGAATTCCAGTAGAAAAAAACACTAAAGGCATACATACAACAAAACAAAACAAGACAAGTAATACAAACAAATGAACCCCTCAAATCAACAACATGAAATACCATTTAAAAACACACTCAAAAGAATAGACAAAAAAGAAGAAATACAACCACCGAAAGCAAGAAGAGAAAGCAACCACCCCCAAAAAATATAAATAGGAAAACCCTAAACGTAACAAAACCTTTTAATATGCCAACAAACAAAAGAATAAAGCACCATATGCAAATGTCAGATAAATACGTAAATTATTTAAAATGTAGAAAATACGAGATGTTTATGAATTGATGCAAAAGTGGAATAATAAAAAGGAGCATCTCGTAACCTTTTAAAACGCCTCTTGAGGCAGATAGAGCCTACATGGCAAGTGTTGTAAATGTCGACAATTACGTTGATACAAATGCGCGAGAAAACAAAACAAAACAACCCCTCCCCCACAAAAAAAGTAAATATACATGTCTATATATATAATAATAATAATTCAAAAATTAAACTAAAGAATTATGAATAAATAAGAACTAACGATAAAGTAATAATAAAGCAGATCTCTCTATAGATAAGGTTCTGTTTTGAAACAAAGATAAAACAAGAATGAACAAATATACGATTTTATTGAAGGAAAAAAAAATACATGATGACTGCAAATTGTTATTAAGATATTTAAAGATTGTACCCAGACAAAAAAAAAAGCACCACACACACCAACAGATGGCCTATTATAATACGGAATTCTTCACTGTTCAATGTTATTCACAGTGTGAGACATTTGTAATGATGCAGTACAGTAAGTATACAGACATAATATTCTATTCACTACCAATGAGAGGACATACAGATTCATTCCTGCAACAATTATACGAGCCGGTAGAATGGCACTTTGATAGTACAGAGTGGTATTGTAGCTTATGAATTGTAATGGTAAAGTATTTACTATTACCTGTAAAATAGCTTTCGTTAAAACTGAATTCATTGGTTTTTGGGGGTGAATTTTATGTTTCTATTTAGACCAAGTAAGTTGGTTTTAAATACTCGTAGTAGTGGGCTATCATGGGGAATTCGTCACTATTCGGGTGTTTACCCAATAACAGGTGTTGTCAATCACTAGGATTCGCCTTCAGTTTAATGACCAACAGGCCTTATGTAATGCGTGGCATTTCCCATCCATTCCCCCACATGGTAAAGTCACTAACTTACATTCCCCTCACCCGCAGACTCTGAGGGGACTACGGGTTTGCTGTGTGCATTCTTGTACACCCATTAATGATATTTTCAATAAGTCTGGTGTCAGCGAATTATGGCCCTCTGCACAGGCAAACTGACGATCCTCTCCCTTTAACTTTACATGGGAGTCTTGAATTTCTCACAGTGTGAGAGTGAGATTCCTCTAATGAACCACACGATGTGCAATGACAAGATATTTAGATTTTCATGTGTGTAAATTGTTTTCAAGATGAATTAGCAGAGACTCTCACAATTATTTACAATTAATTGTGGTAGTATTCATTGAATTTGAATGGTAATACACTATAATATTATAACATTTTAATGGTCATAGTTTTTTTAAAATTATTTACCGTTAAAATAGCCTTGGTTAGTGAACTCATTGGATCGGGTGTAGAGATCCAGTAAGACCCAGATGTAGTATGACGCACTAATTGCCGACAGTATCTAAATTTGAAGAGAAACAAGAATTTTATGAATATTTCTTTAAAGCAAAAGAGACTCTTTTTAAAATTATTATTATACTGAACAATTTTTAGAGGTCACCAATTGTTAATTATTGTATAAACTACATTTTTGAATAAAAACATATATTTTGTTAAATGTTTACAGACTACATTTTGTATCCAAAAGATTACAAGCGTTACATGTACGTTAGATTATAACTGGAGTATTATTTTCTCAACTTTTTACAGTTCTACATGTACCTTCATTTGCTTCAGTGTAAATTGAATCAAATAGTGAATCTTTTACCCGGGAGAAAAGCATAATGTTAACAAAATAGTGACTTGTTAATGTATCTTATTTTGTTTATGTCTTTAAAGCGCACATGGCTTTTATATTAGAATATAATATTGCGAAGATCATGACACGTAATTATACATTAAGGAATGATAATTTAATAAATCTTCTAATGTCTTGTACATGTATACTCTAAATGGTCATACATTTTATCATATAATCAGAATGAAAGAAGTGATGGTGAAAAATACAATTATCATAATTAAAACCAGAATATATATCAGTTGATGTCGCCTTCACTCATACCACTTGTGTTTGATGCAGAAATCTAATTGAAAGGGTGTAAAGGGTTACACCCAAAATTACAATACACACACAAGTTAATCGACACGTACTATTGCGTATCATACACCCCAGCCAAGTATCAACTTTTGCGACATTTTCTCACCATTTGAAACAACTTACCAACGTAATTATGGCGCCGAGCATCCCACCCTTACGGTGGGATAGGCAACAGTAGCAGTGATAAGGAGTTAACGCCATTTTTCCTCGAGAAAGACGCCACGAAATAAGCTTTTTTAATTTCTCCTCAAAATGGTGTATGCAACGAAAAGCAAGATTATCCAACAACGTACAGAACCACTTGTTACATTTGGGTGTCAACTTCTGTTCTGTATAAACAGACTGTACAGCCGATTCTCACCGCCCTGTTGCATGCCTTTGTGATCCCGAGGTATGCGATTTTTATTCAGTGGATGAAAAGTTTTGGTGAGGTCATCGTCATATTCTATTGTGATTCGCCCAAAGATGAATTATGGTTTATGGCAATGAAAAACGAACACACACAATTCAGCTCCACCTAGCTTTGTACGCTGTACGTATTGGTACACAGTGCGAGAAAACCGTACTGGGACCCGTGTGTGTTCCGTGCGTTGAACACACAACTTCTTTTCTATTGATTTGTTTTGTACCGAGTCGTACCAAGAATATTCCTTTTGATGGAAATGGCGTTTTTGTTGTAAATCTTTGAACCATGACTTTAGAAATAGTCCTGTTTATATGATTCCAACAGTACAGGGTAAGTCTCAACTGTGCACTTTGATCGTGGCTTTCGGTGCAGAAAAGTCATTTGAGAACGATATAAAATGGAAATGCGAATGTATTCAAACATGTTACATGTTCTTCAATTACAATTCAAGGATGATTATCCTATTCACTCAGAAACGAATGATTATATATAGTAAATTGATCCTTTGTTGAGGAAAATGAATAATGTCTTAAAAATGAATTTCTAAAATGAGTTTGGATAAGGAATATTATATGTGCATGTCTAAAACTTGTATATAACATAGGCATTAAAGATAAAGTTGAGTTCTGGTCATGCGATTGCCTTGTGAGAGAAACGGTGTGGAATCGACCAGCAAAGGTTGATCAACTAGCATATAAGTATTCGTGTGTATTGCAAGGTTCTGGAATCATCAACATGATAAGAAATTTGACCAAGTCTTGGTAAAGTTACAAACACTGTACACAGAAAGATGTATATGGGACTACACGAACACATGGTGTAAAAATCCTACCCCGGATTTTTACGATGTTACATGCCATATTTAGAATATGAAGGCATTTTTCAGGGAACATGTCTTATCTGATGTTCTTCCACACTCGCATAATAAGAATGACAACGCTCACAAATTATTTTTCACCTTTTCCCAGAACTCAACCTTCTCTTTAAATGTAAAGATATGCATGTATTTGCATAAAACTATATTTTATGAAACTGTTATGTGTTCGTTTTATATTAATATATTGTGTATCTTGGATTATCGTACAAATAAAGTGATCTTATTGTTACATTAGGTATATCTTAAACAACTATTCATTATTATCGAACAGTGTGGTTATTGAATACGGGGAAGAAAACGACAAAAAGTAAAAACTTCAAAAACGTGCTTTAAAAATGGCGGTCACAAATTTGAGATTTTGAGGGGTAAAAGAATAAAAAGAGCAGGAATGGTTTCTAAACACACGTATTTCCAGATTTTTTTTTTTTTTTTTTTTTTTTTTTTTGGGGGGGGGGGTATTGTATGTTCACAAACTCGTCATCATTTAATTTCATGTAAAGTTCATTAAGTAGCGAATGTATTTTGACAATTTCTTAACTTGCAGTTCTGAAACACAAGATAAAGACCAGTTATGGTCGTGCGATTGCATTGTGAAAGAAACGTTTTGGAATCGATCAGAAAAGGTTGATCATCTAGCGTATAAGTATTGGTGTGTACTGCAAGGTTCTGGAATCATCAAAATGATAAGAAAATCGGCCCAGTCTTCGTAAAGTTACAAGCACTGTACGCAGAAAGATGTATATGGGAATATACGCACACGTGCGTTTATCTTTCACAGTCCAATAGACAAACTAATTTACCAAATATATTAATTAGTAGGCGGTTTCCCGGCAAATTTTTTATCATCATGTATTAGTCAAAACATATTCTTTCACATGATTGGTAATAGGAGCTTCCATTTCATTTTTTGAAATTGGGGCGTTTCCAATACTGGTCTTTACCTTTAAACAGCGAGCGGATTTTAACCGATAAACTAGGAGTTTTTGATTCTCTCCCGTGCAGCGCCATCCTGCGATGAAAACATTTGAGTGTTCCAGATTTCTGTAGCAGAACCCTGCCTGGCGGAGGGAAGGTGAAATATAAGGTAATGGACCACATTGAATTATTTCTTTGTAATGTAAATATTTGTAGTTGTAGATAGACAGCAAAACGTTATTGATGCAGAACGATTTCTGCACTCGGAGAAGGGGAGATAATTAGAATGAGAAAGTAAAGAATCTCTGAACTATTTTGCTAGGAAACATGGATTTTTATGATCTTTTGAAGTAATCTAATATTGTTCGAGTAGTATACAGGGGCGGATCTAGCTTTTTGCTCAGGGGGGGGTTGACCAATAATGACGATGCCGAGCATCGTCCACGAGCCGCGAAGCGGCGAGCCGATTTTTTGGGGGTGTTTATTTGAACCCCGTAAGTGATGTTTTCCTGGCATCTATTAACACAATGGAGACCATAAAAAGCAGTGCATGATAACGTCTTTTTAAATCAAGTAACAGTTAAATACACAGTTATATCCAGAGTTAGCATGTGTTTGGTTAAGTTACCAGATGAGTTGAATATCTTCTCACAATATTTGCACTTGAAAGGGTTTCTCTCCAGCGTGCGTTCTTTTTTCTTTCTTTTTTTCTTTTTTTTTTTCTTTTTTTTTTCCTTTTTTTTTTTTCCTTTTTTTTTTCCTTTTTTTTTTTTTTTTTTTTTTAATGTGGGGATTTTGAGGATGAGAATCGGCAACGCTGGCCTAGCTTGTCACTTCGGCGGTGGCCCGTGTCCTCAAAAAAGCTGATGGGGGGGGGGGGCAAGGGACTCTGTGACATTTGTTCGCCCAACCCCCCCCCCCCCCCTCCCCCCAAAAAGAAATAATAATAATAATAATAATAATAATAATAATAATAATAAATGAAATAAATACATAGAAATAGAATAAAAATAAATTACAAGTTTAAAAAAAAAGATAAGATTTAAAAAAATGGTCCCCGGATTTTTTTTTTGGGGGGGGGGGGGTTGCAACCCCCCCAACCCCCCCTCTAGATCCGCCACTGGTATATGATATATTATGTGGAACATACGCTTTGTAACTGCAAGGAAAGGTGGTATACCCAGGGTATGTGAGTTTGGAGGATGGAGAGGAAGTTAGTATGGATATGTGCAAGAGAGACATACAATTATAGAAAGAGAGTGAGATATGGAGAAAGAGAGAGAGAAGAATTTTCTACAGTAATCCTTACACATATCAGCTTTCGTGAAAATAAGAATACGACGCTTTTAGAATTTTGACTTTCAATTACATTAAAATACCTGTAGTGAAATAAGAATTTGATACCAAATGTTCAAAAAAGCTTTGTGGTGCAAACATTTCAAAAATATTATTACGAAAACCAGTGCGAATGCCACTGTTTATTTCACCTTTTATGTGACTGTGTGCTTATTTTCCACTTGAGAAAGCTCCCCCACTTCCCCATTTTTCAGGTAAAAAAGGTAAAACCAATATGAACGTCACAGTTTATTGATTGAATGGCCCATTTAAAAGCAGGTTGAGTGAATTGTTATCGAGTCAAATCATGTGACCCAGTTTACCTGTTGCAAACGCCTCTACCAGAATCTCATTAACCTTGATTTCTTGGGGTAATCAAACTGAAATTTTCGAAATCGGCCGTGAAAAGTGCTTTGTTTCAGTCTTTATTGATTTTGTTTTATGAAGAGGTGACAAGAGGAAGACGTATTTTGACTGTCGTACCATAATGTGTCTCTTGACTTTTTAATTTTTTGTCATCAAGCACGCTTCTGATTATTTCTCTATATTTTGGTGCCTCACAATCCAGAAAGAAAGAGAGAGAGAGAGAGAGAGAGACACACACACACACACAGAGAAAGAGAGAGAGAGAGAAGGGGGGGGGGGGCGTGGATCGCCCATTTGGGGTGCTTGAATGCGTTCCATAAAGATACAATACTTGAGTTCTGGTGAAGACGAACAGTATATGTGAAGTTTCGTTATGCCCTATACAAAAAAAACTCTTCTATTGCATTGCAATACATTTTGGACATGATTTTTAATTCGGTGTACACTGTAAAGTATGACTTTATGATATATATCATAAGCCTAAGTCGATAAAACCGGGTGAGACACATCCTATCGGCATTACAAGAGGACCACACGTACAATCTTGCAAATATTCAGCATTCTCTCTTTCCCCCTTCTCTTCTTACAGTAAAAGTACTAAGTAGTATCATGATAATCTTCCATGTCTTTTGTGCCAGCATCTAGGTTTTCATTCCCAGATGGCCGGTTTTATTCGGTTGTAAGCTGGTTGTGAATTGAATATCTCGAGTGATGAAGATGATATCGGAGGCAGATGTAGACTCTCCGACGGAGGAACAAGAGAATAGGGAGGGGGAGGGAGGTTGGGGTCGACAGCTCCCTATTCTGCCTACAGATTTGTAATTGTTGTTAGCAACGTCATTAGGTTCATACGACATTCATTTTACAATTGATGGCAGGTATTTAGATATATGTTGACATCCACTCTTGCTTTTTACCCTCATTGATTTTTGTCTTTGTATAAATGGGTCAAAAGATGTGGTCCGCCCCCTCCCCGATCCTTATAGTGCTGTAGCGACACCCCTGCTCTCCGGTTTCCACATCCTGTCCGCAAGATAAAAGATCATGAATCGTGGCACTGGTGAATATCATCTTACAACCAGGGCGCCAGAAGATTTAAAGCAATGCACTGTTTTAGCGTGGAAATTACCATCGATAGGAAGAGAATTTCACCACTCCCGTCCTAAGTGATATGAATTTCATCTTGATCAACTCATACTGGCATTAACGGGTTATGCAGTCAGTGACCCAGTTGTAATGGAAAGGAATTTAAAGCGGAGTCTCCGAATAATGCCCTGCTAACGGAAAAGATAGTATGGTGACAAATTTTTGCGTGTAAAAAATCTTACGGTGTAGGTGATGAGAACATGTGGTTTCACTTGAAATGCGAGAAGATGATTCTACCTTTAAATATATAACAATTGCTGAGCAAATGGCGTGTAAAATATAAAAACAAACAACAACAAGAAATAATGAAGAAGAAGAAAAAAAAATCCGCAGCAACAATAAACAACAAAAATAAACGATCAAAAAGCCCCACAAACAAACTAAAACAGTCTGATGCATGAAAGAAATGCTCTTTGCACCTGAAGTGTCATACATACATTTCTTTTCCTTATTTTGTTGTTTGTCATTAGCATTAATTTGTCATGTAAAGCGCATTGAGCAACATTTCATTGGTTTTTGCGTTATACATGTACACGTATGTATGAATGCATATTTGAATGCTGATATTAAGTTGATTTTCAATAAAATCAGAAAAAGCGAGAAACAAAGCAAAATCCGATTAAAAATAGGAAAGTTATGTATTTATAAGTTGTCATCAGTAATACAAAAATTTGCAACACTGTGACCTATCTTGTGAGCTCCTCTCCAATTTGCTACAGAAAATAGAAATAGTTCTAATGAAGATAAATGTTTCGTATGAAAATTTATGAAAATTCAAGTATAACAGTATTTTAACTACTGATGGGGCTACCCTGTTGAAAGAAAAAAATAAAAAAATAAAAAAATGATATAACAATATATTAGATAACAAACCGCTTATTTTTAGTTATTTTACGACATGATTATGTAGTATATTGGTAACTTGTATTAATGTTTCGGATTAAAAATGTAATAATAGAAACTTTTCTGTTAATGATGTGCAGTCGATTAAGACCAAAAATAACAACTCTATCTTCTTGTCACCTCGGATTCATCTCCCATGAGATGCGTTTCCATGGAAACGTGAACGCATCATCTCATGAGGAGGACATTCATCTCTGATTATTTTGTTGTAGTCAGTTCTGGCTCATTTCCTGTGATCGTTCACTTTGCCAATGAAATGCCTCATATCGAAATAAAAGGATATTAATATGTCTGAGGGAAGAAAACAAAATAGATTGCTGTCTTCGAATACTTTTCTGATAAAATTTTTCTATTTTTATTCTTAAACGCCATCTCGGGGAAAGACATTCGATCAAACGCTATACAAAGGAGAATATTATCATCATGTAATTCATGTATTCCTCACAATTCCTATTTCTCATTATCATGAAAACATGCAACATATCGACAAGGCCGAATGCACTCTCCTACACAGTCACCTAAAATAAATATTTCAAAATAGATACAGAATATCGAGATGATGGAAAAATAATAAAATGTCGCGGATAAATATGATTCTTTATAAGTCGATAGTTATCCTTTTATAATTTTACTCCATATTGTGTATTGTGCACGCTTACTACTTCTCTAAACTCAAGAACGTGCGGACATTTTTTGGCGGAAATCAATTTCTCAAATGCATTTTAGGACTGTGCTCTGAAATCGATTAGCCTAAAAATAGATGCATGATAAATCAAAAAATTGATAAGAGAACTTGTAATTCTGCTACTTCCAAGAAACGGAATCGATGCCCTCGATGAAAAGTCTTCTTTTGTTTTTATTTTTTGGCTCAAGGGGGAGAAGCAAGAAAACAAAATATACTTTTCCTGGAGGGCAATTAAAAATAAAGATGAGTTGTTATTCCCGTAATTTTTGTTGTTGTTTGTGTTTATTTCTCAAATGCTTTTTAGGTCTGTGCTCTGAAATCGATTGTGCTAAATAGATGCATGACAAATCAAAAACTTGAACAGAAAACTTGTTATTTACTTATCCTGGAGGGCGATTGAAATTAAAGATGGTTGTTTTCCCCGTAATTGTTGTTGTTGTATATTTATTTAAATACGGTGATTCAAAAAATGCTTTCAACTTGGCATAAAATACCTAAAGATAAACAGATAAAATACAAATTTAAACAAAACAATACATAACATTGAAAGGAAAAAATGTATAAACATATTAAAAAAAAGAGAAATATAAAGCAAGTTAATACTCCAGTCACACCATCGATATCGACACCGGACCAACAACAGACCGAGCAAACACTTAAATTATCCCTTATGGCCAAAACACGACCGGTGTGGGATCGGTGAGGGGACGGTTTGGCGGTGTGACTGAGGTATAAAGCATTCTCACTGCCAGTGGCATAGCAAGGGCGTCATGTAAAGGGGGAGGGGGCGGGCCACTGGGGGGTGTTTCACAAAACTTGTCATCAGTGATAAATGACAGTTGTTAAAAATTACTGAAATCCTTGCTTCTGATTGGTTATCAGCAGATTTGTCACTGATATTTGTCATTTGTCATTGGAAAAAGGCTTTGTGAAACGGGTCCCTGGTCCCACTCGGCAAATGAAAAGAAAATCAACCAGGCCATTGAATATGGAGAAGATGTGGAAAGGGGTCATTTCATCTTTTTCACGTCCAATGGTATCATCATATAGAAAAACGGAACAATTTAAACAGGCAGAAAATAACCATACGATCGTATCTTAAAATGCTAACAAACTGTAGAATTATTGGAATCCGTGGGGGGGGGGGGGGGGGGGGACTTGGTTGATTTTAACCTACAAAACTGGGTAACATTTGTTCATTAACAGGCAAATTCTTCCCCTGAAACGTAACAAAAATTACTCAGTTGAACATCAAACTTCCCAGGTTCAATTTAGGCCAGACATTTTGCTCAGTTATTCATATCGCATGGATGAAATTGTTTCTTCGCTCACAGATAATACTACATTATAAGCGCTAAATTCCGGATTCATTGGATTCACCTGGCTGGTGAAGAGTGTCAAATGAAACAGCTTTAAAGCTACTCCTTTGAACAAAAAATAACATTTCACTGTTTGTTGGTGCCAATCACAGTCAGATCTGTCTGACATTTTAGCTGATTTCATTTCAAAATGTTAAACACCACTGTTTATCTGACACTATCTGTAAGGACCTGATCGGAAACCCCATCCTCGTGTTGACAGTGCACTTGATTGGGGCAGTAAAGGTCTTCTTCCCCCGCAAAAAAGCAACCTGTGCTCGGGGGAAGGTCCAGGGTTGTCTGAAGAGGGGGAAGGGGGTTGTGGATAATTTTCTCGATAGCGATTTTAACCAAGGAATTTTCAGGCGGCGGATCCAGTATTTTGAATTTGGTTTCTAGAATTCCGCTGGCCCTCTGGCCTCTTCATCCTCTCTGTCTGAGAGGACGTTATTTTATTTTATTTATCTCTTTTTTTCCCCTTTTTTTTCGGGGTTGGGGGGGGGGGGGGATTGAGGAGGGGATGAAGGAATAGAAAAAGGCAAACACATACGATTCATTTTCCGACAGTGTACTCCCCCCAGTTAATATTCCCGCTGGCCCCTCAAAAAACCAGAAAGGGAGGGCCGCTTTTCTTTTCGTTTTTTTGTTTTGTTTGTTTGTTTTTATTAATTTAACAATTGAAAAGGTTTGTCTTTACCCGTCTTTATTTAAATGGGGGGGGGGGGGGGGGCGGACGAATGGAGATGGGCAGCTGGTTTGTTGCCCCTCCCCCCACCCTGGATCCGCCAAGTGCTCTTTCCTTTCCCTCACCTAGGGAGATAAAATGTGTTAATTACGCAGGGTATCAGGTGTTTTGTGACCGACGGACAGAAACAGGTCGGCGAAATTGCGAAACCAAGATGTTTGCTCTGCGGGGATAAGGGCATTGAAGGTCTGTCAAGAGCCATATAGCCTCCGGGTTGTGAGGGGGAGGATGGGTGTGGTATAATGCCCAACAGTGGATGGACGCAAGTCGGACGTGGCGTCGGTGAAATATTGCAATCATGACTCGGTACAATACAGACTTTGAATATTACAATGTATTAATCTACTGGGTTATATTTAATACCATAATGTGTTATATTTCCTCAATACTATGTAAATATGATTTGTTAACATTGTCTCATTTAATTTTCGCGTATAGCTACTTATCCCACAAACCTCAAATGAGCAAGTTAGATAATCTACAGGCCCTACATTATATTGATTAGTCGTTGTTCTTAAATAAACTTCGAGATTATTGTGTAAAAGAATCTAATTATTGCCTTTTCACGTATAACAACGATTATAGCTACATGCACATTTAAGATGCGCTTATTTCATCAAACTTACAAGATGAGATATGATGTATCCTCTGTACCTCTGCAAGGCTCTCTCTCTCTCTCTCTTTCTCTCTCTCTCTCTCACTCTCCTCCCCTCTCTCTCTCTCTCTCTCTCTTCCTCTCCCTCTCTCTCTCTAACTCTCTGTCTCTCTTTCCTTTATTGAAAGAGAGAAAGTGAAAGTGACTAGTGCCTTATCTTCGATTAGGCCAATATTAATAAACTCTGAATGGTATAAGGCATGCAACATGCAACGTGAGACTCAGACGAAAGATGATATGCAACTCTTCCCTTTTTTTTCTTCAAAAGAGGATAATCACCATTAGCTGCGACTCGGCCAGTAACAAGCCGTCGCCAGATCGTTAACCGTTATCCATTAGGCCAAGTAAAATTGACTCATAATTTCTAGTCGAAAAATTTTCATAAAATAGATTTGAGTGGTTCCATGATTTTATTTTTTCTCTTCACATAAATGTTATAGCCATACGAAAAATAGGGTCAATTTCAAAAAACAGTTTTTGTTAATTGAATTACTTTTGTACTTGCATCATTGAGGCTGTAAACAATAACAAAAAGTGTCAAATCGCATTATAATCAGGGATAGTAATGATTTAGTAATTTTTGTCACCCCATTGTCTAATGGTCCTTAAATAAAGGGGAAGAAGAGGTGGAGGGGAAGGGAAGGTTGAGCGGGGGATGGGAGAAATGTGTTCGTGTTGGTGTGAATTGCGTGTTTTGGTGTATGTGTTTTATGTGTATGTGTTTTATGTGTTTGTGAAGAGAAGAAGAGACACAGAAGGGGGAGGGAGAGGGAGAGAGAGAGAGAGAGAGAGAGTGAGAGAGTGTAATATATAGCTTAGGCACCGCTCAGCTAATTATTTTCTCGTTCGTTTGTCTACTTGAGGTAAGAGCCACCTGGTTTAACGGTGATCTCATTAAAACTAAAATGCACTTTGATGGCATCATCAATCTCTAAAGAAAAGATAGTTACACCAACAAAACATTAAACAGGTGTTTTATGCTGAAGACCACTCCACATAATGCATTCAACATGGATGTGTATTTCCCAAGCGCCTCATGATGAAATAATGGGTTGTCATGCTTTATTTTGTTTCCAGACAGCCTGTATACAGGTTGCGTGTCAAATACACGTTTATTGATTGTCGGGCAAGCTGTCGTGTCGTCCAGAGTAACAGACGACGCCTGACATAATATGGTTATATCCTTATCAGGATGAGTAGAGGTGTCGTGGTCTTGTGGTATAATCACTTGACTGGAGGTGTTAAAGCCCCACTGCACTACTCATAGCTACTTGCGCCCTCTATATAGCAATTAATGCCTAATCGGTGACCATTGGTCCCCCATGTTCCCCCTTTTTTATGTTAATTGAGAGCTGATTTGATGAGGTAACCTCCTTACAGTGACCATGCAGGGAGGTCTAATCCCTCCTGGCCAAACTAGTGCAGACAGGCTTTAAGGTGTGTCATAAAACAAGGCACTTCATTTCTTCTCCCCACCCAGGTGTTAGATGATTTCTAGGCAGGATGCGAAATTCATTGTAGTTTGCTCAGCATTGTGAGCGTTTGTGAAAATGGCGCCTGTCTGAAATGCTCCCCAGGGAGTGTAGAATTTGCATATAACGTGTACTGTGTCCGGGAAAGTCTGTGTATCCGATGACTGGGGTAATGATATTTGTGTAAAGCGCTAAGAGACATCCTCTACGTATTACGCAAAAATAAACCCATAACATTATTACCATTGTCACATTTGTGAACTGTTCACTTTAGAGAAGCTAGGTAGGTGTACTTACTGTATGTCACATGAATTTTCTTTGGAAACGGAATTTTGCTGTTCCGGCAAAGTACATTCCCAGTCAAGGGCTTAATCATTTTGTCCCTTCTGGCTAAACAATATCAAGAATGATTACAAACCAGTCTGAGGCTCCTATTTTAAAACTGTTTAACAGTCTAATAACCCGCTGTTAAATTGAACATGCATACGTGTAAATATTAGTACGTGGGAACGCTTCAAGCAAAATATCTTTTGCCTCATTTTTGTAAATTGTGACGTTGTAATTTTTCATTTCATAAAAAGAAAAGTTCCTTTTTGTTATTTGTTCATATTTATTTTTTAAAATTTGTAATCTTTCTTTTCATTTGAAATTACAGATTATTTGTTCCCGTCAGAGTCAAAAACGCATTTACGGCATGAAGGTGAACCACGTCGTAGGGACAAGCTTGCATGAGTGAAAGGTAATTATAAATTGATATTTCCTTACGTAGTTGAATTTTATAATCCCTTTGTTCCAAAAATGTCATTCATGCTAAATTACAGCATGGATGGAGAGTGAACTGATGGGCTAGCTGCACATGCGAGTAATATAAAGCCCAAAGTCCTTTGCAGCTATATAGAGTCCAAGCTCAGTGGTTCTAAGATGCTCTCTGGTGCAATCTTAGCAGTTGTTTTTGAAGAATTCACAAACAAAGTTCATCACCGTTTTTTTAAATGAATTTGGTTGAGAAGGATTCTAATTTTCTTTTACTTTATAACCCATCGCTATGAAGTTTTAACCTGTCGCTGATTTTCAAACATCTACTTTCAAAATTCAAACCTATCGCCTTTACTTGTCAAAACCCCTTGTGGATAATAATAATGATAATATAGGCATTTCTATAGCGTTGTCTAGAAATTCTATTCCAAGGCAGATTTATTATTACCCGGCTTTAGCCTAGCTGCCATTACAGCGCTCCAGCATTTCAAGGAATTAATTCCTGACAGGTAGGGCCTACCCATTTACCTCACCTGGGCCGAGTGTGCCAAATGAAGATTAATACCTTGCCAAAGGACATTAGTGCCGTGTAGGGGATCGAACCACGACCTTTGAATTCGAGTCGAGAGCTTAAACCACTCGACTGCGACAGTGACACTTATATGGATCACATACGTGGGGGCAGTCTTGCATCTTGCCGCAGTAAAGGTTGAACTGTACCTTGAAGCGATGACTCCAAGCTTCTCCATTGCTAATTAAGTGACCGGCAAGAAAGTGTTGCTTCTTTTCCCTCTCGCCAAATGTTTATAAATGCGACCCTTCTTGTACTCCGCCCAAGGATTTTTTTCTTCCCCAAAGCCTACGGATGTTGAAAGGCCTAACGTTTGTTTAGAGATAGCCCGTTCAGACTAGGTGAACTTGGATAAAGAAACGTGGTTTAAAGAATCGTATAAAGGAAGAGGCGTTCACACTGGATAACAACATTAATTAAGAAACCAGTTTTGAAGAGGTTCGTTGACAAGACACGTGACCAAACATAAGTATTTATACAGTTTTGTATATGACGACATTCAGACGAGAACGGGACCACCGATTCTTTATCGAGTTTTTCGTTCGAAACGATGCTTAAACACGCAGTACGCTAAACGACGTTTCATAATATGATGTTTCATGATACGATGTTGTGGCTAGAATTGTTTTGCTTACAGTTAACAACTAAATTATTCATACCCCTTGTAACTGATTTTTTGTTGTTTTTCGAAACTTAAGAATGAACGATGTACTGGTTGAATTGAGGCCTTTTTTGAATACTTTTAGATGTCAGCTTCAATATGTCACATTCTCAAGAAACATAAATCGGGACAAATAATTTTGACATAGTTTAAACATAAAATAACTGTGTAAGGGTATGACAAATTCAGTTGTTAACTGTATTTATAGCTCTACGATTTTCATACAGCAATACGGTACTTTTTAGTAGTCTGAACGAGGGGATAGAAAGAGAGAGCGAGAGAGAGAGATTCCTGGGATGTCGAGGGACCGGTTCTCGTGGCACCACGAGACAAGTGCACCTCTGAGTTCCATTGTGACATCACTGGGCGAATGCCATGAGCTATACTCACGCAGTATTGTCGTCTTGAAAGTGGCGTCGCAAAAGAGTGTAGTGTCCACTTTCGTTTGGGGAAAAAGGATGCATTTTTGTCTTTAATTTATCCTAGAAACGAAGACATGAACCTCGCTAAACGTCTGATGGTAGTTGACTTTATTAAACCTTGGGGATGGGAATACAATTGATTTTCCACATGCGGAGGGGGGGGGGGGTGGGTTCTAGTTTTGCTTTCTTGTCAGCTATCCTAGAAAATACCAGGTTGGTGGGGGAGGGTCCTGCGTATAAGATTTAGGTCTGTCAATATTTGACTAGTAAAACATAAAGAGTTGTCAATTTCATAAAGGGGAAATCCCCAGTGGCGCCTGTTATCGATTGCTATCGATCTTACCATTCACACACGCACACACACAAATCCGTCATCAACAACACCCTAGGAAAAAAATGGAATTAAAGTGGATAAAACTGCAGTAAACTGGATGTTCGTGTTGTAACATGGCAGCCTCTCGTAGTAAAGACATGTATTGAGGCCACATTAAATATGCAGAACACCTTTTCCAAAATCCTATTTATATGCTAAACCTATTCAACTTGCATTTGCAAGAAATACGATGACTTAAAATGACATAGTTCATGTAATTTGTAAAAAGAAATGTGCAAAATAACCACAATCCGTAAAGAAGATGTCATCGTTAAACACCTTGCTCGAAGTATTTGAGGTGTCGCAACGGTTTGAAACCAATATTTACCGATTGGCCTTCACAGTTCACTGCGAATTTTCTTTTAAAAAAAGAAATCAAAGTACATTAGGGCGTTATCACCCCTCCCATCTAAAGTCACGTCACAAGATGCATTTCAGAATAAGTGAATGTCACAATCATGTCCCCCACGTCTTTTCGGTTTTATTTATGCCCGAAAGAAATCACCAAAGACCGAACGTACATACAAAATTTCAGGAGTAAAAAGCCCAACGTATGATAATAGTAATATTAATAATAACCTAGGCTTCTATAGCTCGTTTAATCATCGAAGAAAATAACAATGCGCTTTATAATATTAATACAACAAAACTACACATAACTAATTCACGAACTAAAGAAATATCAAAATAAGGACAAGATTAATATTAATCGATCATTATAAATATCAATTACAGAGAAAGAAGGCAAATTATGTAAAAGTACAGTAATGTAATTAAATTTTGATGAATACAATAATACAGTTTAAATGACATTAAACATGATCTTTCCATTTCTTTCTCAAAAAGGCACTGAAATGCCTTTGGCGGATTTTTCGCTCGTATTGCGATTTCTTAGGAGGAAATAACCTCTTCGTAAAATGGCTCGGACATTCGTAGACCGATGGGGGACCGTGTTTCAATCGACGTCCGTGAGAGAGTGGTAAAGGGGTAGAGACAAGTAGAAGCGGGGCTCCTTGACATTTAAAGAGAGTGCAAAAGATTTCCCCTTATCAACACTCAACACCTGAACGATAGGGCACATTGCATGTGAGGGGCAGGTTTTGTCGCGTTTTTTCCTTCTCTTTTCTGTTTAGCCTCTCGTTTCGTGATAGGTTCACTCTAACAGTGATAAATAAAAAGACAGACATGGCGATGGATAGGAAAGATAGAAAGAGAGAGAGAGAGAGAGAGAGGGGGGGGGGGCAGGTTTTGTCGTGTTTTTTCCTTCTCTTTTTTGGTTCAACCTCTCGTTTCGTGATAATTTGAAAGACGATAAATAGGAAAGATAAAGAGTGAGAGAGAGGGGAAGAGAGAGAGAGAGAGAGAGAGAGAGACAGAGAGAGAGACAGAGAGAGACAGAGAAGAGGAGAGGGAACAAATTCCCCCTTAACGACACTCATCATCACCTGAACAATATTGAACATGGTAGAAGGAGAAATGTGAAGGAATAGCGAGCAAGAGAGGGAGAAGAGAGAGAGAGAGAGAGAGAGAGGATGAGAAGTGGGAACAGTAATAACCTTGACAACAATGAAAAATACATAATACTGCATCCGAGAGACTTTATCTGGTCGTTTCCCCCCTTTTTTAAAACATGTTTTATGCAGCATCTCGCTCCCTGATTCTTCCATACTGACATCGAGATAATGAAAGACACACACGGCGATGAATAGCGGAAAGAAAGAGAGAAAGAGAGAGAGAGAGAGAGAGGAATTAGAAGGGAGAACGAGGGTGATATAGAAAGAAACTGAAAGACAGAAAGAGATAGAGAGAGAGAGAGAGAGAGAGAGAGAGTGGGAGTGTATCTGTAGATATGTGATTATAATCCAGCCCGTCAGTGCATAGAAATCATTATTTTGCTCTATTCAACGACTCAATTTCAAAATGTGAATTAGTATACCTTTAAAAGCAACCCCTTCCTTCGATCCCTCTCTACCCCCTTCTTGCGGAAGAGCGTTGATGATTAGCTTCTTATAGATAGACAGGAAGTTAATTGAAAAACAGACACCATCTCAGCCGTTTGACGATTGCGTCAACATCGCATATTCTTGTTGCCAATTCGCTTTAGAAGCAAAGTCATGCTGCTCATCTTATCTTTTCTGTAAGATGAAATTTTATACAACTAACAAGGAAAACTTACCGTGCAGAAACTTTGTCAATATCACATGACATATTCTTGTTGCCGACTTGCCGTAAATGCAAAGTCATCAGTTGTGCATTCTTGTCTTTTAAAGATATAATTTTATACCGCTAAGAGGAAAAGCTTATACTGTGTATTAAGTTTGTCAACATCACATTCTTGTTGTCGACTTGCCGTAAAAGCGAAGAGATGAATTTTTAGTGCAGTAAGCAAGAAAAGCTCTATGTAGCTGGTCACTTTTTCAACATCACAATCGTATTTTTGTTGCCGAGGGGTGCGGTTGAAGCAATGTTATTTTTGTGCAGCTGGTCTTTTTTTAACATGAAACATCTTCCATGCAGCAAGCAAGGATGACTTACTGTGCAGAGACTCTGTGAAAATTACAATTTCATGATTGCTGCCGACTTGCCATTGAGGAAGAAATCTTAATATTTTGTTTATCTAATTATTTTAATCCTATCCAACCCGATCAACAACGTATTGTGGTTAGGCGCTCTTTCCCTGCAGTTAAAAAGCGCTTCCCAATTTGCTACAGAAAGAAACTATAAACCGCTTAAACAATGATAAAATGATATCAAACTTTAAAAAAAAGATTGTGCCAATAACACACATTTAAATGTCCATGCTTTCTGATGAAATAAATCAGCCGTCAAAAGTTTCTCCAGCTGATCCAGAGATGAGGCGGTCTTCAGGATGGATAAGATTAAGATAAAACTAATATTAAAGTTCTGTTTAGAAAACCTTGAAAGCTCACTGAGTACTGGAATGGAATGCTCCTTAGAGTCTTCGCAATGACCAAATGTGGTGCTAGAGGAATTTTGTTTAGGAGGGTTGTCAGTTCTGTCCGTCTCATACTCATGACACTATGACAATGGCTTATTTGGACCTTGGTGCCAGGGGAGGGGGGAGGGGATATTGGCTTTCGTGATCCATTCGGGAATCCACTTCAGCCAAGAAAATGGCTTTGCCGGGCTCCTTTTTTAGGGAGTGAAAATAGTTTAGGAACAAAATTCCATAATTTATGAGTTTTTAAAAGAGACTTAGCTCATTTACACCTTGTAATATTTTCCTTACTTAAATTTAAGCCAATTACTTTATTTCCTTTGGCGAAAATTTGTCGTCGGAGTGGAGGGGGGCTGCCCCTTAACCCTACACATGCGCTTTAGTGCATGATGACATACCTTTGGCCCTTATCCGTCATTTTGCGACATAATCCATCTCA